AATACTGAAAAATGCTTAGTACAATTATTCTTCAGGGCAATGGAAATTAAAACCACAATGAAATACCACAACAGCTGGGTGTAGAGGCACGTGCCTGTAGTCCCAGCACTTGGGAGGCTAAAGCAGGAGGATTGCTATGAGTTTGAGGCCAGCCTAGGCTACACAGTGAAGTCAAGGCCAGCCTGACTGCTTAGCGAGACCCAGTCCCAAAACAAAAGAAAAAACCAAAAAACCAAAACATATTCACTAGAATACTTAAAATCAAAAGAACAGAAAATACCAAGTTGGTGAGAATCCTGTAGGGACATCAAGAACACTCATATGTTGCTGGTGGAAGCATAAATTAGAATACTTTTGAAAACTGGCCATATCTGCTAAAGCTAGAGATAAAAATGCCCAAGACCTAAAATTTAGTTTCATTTATAACAGCCCCAAACTGGACACATCTGGAATGTCCATTAATACTATCATGGATAAACTGTAATTTATTCACAGATTAAATATTACATAGTAAGAGAAAGGAATAGGCTACAAAATAATTAAATCTCCAAGAAAAATGCTGAAAGAAACCTATGATTGCATTTATATAAAGTTCAGGAACAGGCAAAATCAGTAAGTGGCAACAGAGGCAGCAACTACAGCTTGGGAAGATGCAAGGTGGAGGCGCTGGGGAGTTGGGACTGTGCCCGCAGACACACAAGACACACAGAAACTCAAGGATGGTGCTTACCCCTTGTCCACCAGCACCGCTCCTGGTTGACCCATCTACTGCTCCAGTGTGCTCTGCATTCTCCCCTACGCTATTTTTTTTTTTTTTTTGGTACTGGGAATCGAACTTGGGTCCTTGTGCCTTTGAGGCAGGGGTGGAACCACTGAGCTAAATCCCCGCCCCCCACTACGCTATTTCTGATGATCCCAAAGTCCCTGCAAACCCACCTCTCAGCCCTTGGACTTCCTCTCTTGGTCTACTCTTCTTTCCTGAATGCCTGTTTCCCAACTTTTCTCTCCTCAAACCCCTAGACTCCCTGTCATTATTCTCACTCACAGAGTGAAGATCTGGTGGTTCTTCCTCCTTCTCCTCTGAGTGAGTCCTTTCACACTAAGGTACTTTCCTAGCCTTATTATTACTATTATTCTGAAACAGGGTCTTGCTAAGTCACTAAGTTGTCCAGGCTGGGCTCAAATTTGTGATCCTCCTGCCTCAGCCTCCCAGAGTTGTTGGGATTACGGGCGTGCTTAACTAGGCCTGGCTTCTCATCCTTTTTGATATTTTAGTGGCATCTGACAGTTTATCTCTCTTCTGCCTTGTGACTTCAAGGCCGAAACACTCCCCTTGTCATGCCTTCCTCAGTTTGTTCTTCCTCAGTCTCCCTGGCCTTCCACCCTGGTTCAGTCCACAGGCTTTCTCTTTTCTATCTCGACACTCCCTTGTGATCTCCTGGACTCTGACCTGGGCTTTAAACACTATCTGTAAACCGCTGGACAGTCACATTTCTGCGACTTGGATGTGTGAGAATGTCACAGAAGGCACTGACAACCTAACTCCTAAAACCCGCTTCTCCTTGTCTTCAGAGCTCAGGAAATGGCAACACCCTTCTTGTGCTGCCCCAGGCCTGCGCTTCTGAGTCTCTCTCTGCCCCACTTCCAGCCCCTTTAAAAGGCAAGTCAGGTCAGCGTGGCATTGGCCCCTCTCTGAGGCACTGGGGAAGGGATCCCGGGTCTCACGCACGCTGGTGAGCTCTCTGCCAGCCCCATCTCTCTTTTGCTTGGTTTCCTACTCCACTGAGAAAATGCCCAAGGCCTCCAGGAGCCCAATTCTTGCAGTCCCGACTCACTCCTTCCACCAAGGAGCCCCGTCCCGTTCTTTCTTCCGGGGCTGCGGGGTTTGCACCCTCACTCCCTGGGCTTCAGCCACCTCGTCACCCAGGCCTTCACTTGTCCACCCTATCCACAACTACAACCCTCCCAGACTCCCTGCTTTCTTCCCTGCTTTACATTTTTTAAAAAAAATTATTACACTTTATTTCTTAGAGCCATTTTAGGTTTACTAAAAAATTGAGAATAAAAAGTACACACAGTTCCCACAGATTCCCCTCCTCTCGACCTCCCTGGTGGCAGGTTTCAGTCTGAACCCAAACTGATACATTATTATTAGCCAGAGACCAGCGCTGACACCAGCTTCACTGTGTTGCATATTGTGTGGCTTTCAACAAATGCGTAAGTACAGAACAGCTTTAGTCCCCTGTGCTGCACCCACTCGGCTTTCTTCCCTCTGCCCAAACCCTTCGCAAGAGCTGCTTTTTCCTCTCTCTCTGGTTCTGCCTTCTCCCTGTAGTGGGAACCACACAGTAGGCAGTCTTTTCAGATTGGTTTTTCACCTGTCACACACATCGAAGGATCACCTTGTCTTTTCATGGTTTAAGAGCCCTACCTTATTTTTCTCCTTGGCAGTTATCTTTTCTAACATGCTTCTATTTTACTTATCATTTTGTTTGTCTTGTACACAGAATTGTGTTTTATGCTGGGCATAGTGGTGTACATCTGTAATTCCAGCTACTTGGGAGGGTGCGGCAGGATGATCACAAGTTTGAGGCTAACTTGGTAACCTCTTAAGACCCTCTCTCAAAATAATAAAATACAATAAAAAGGAGCTGGGGATGCTGCCTTGGGGTAGAGCCTTTGCCTAGCATATGTGGGCCCGGGGTTCAATCCTCAGCATGGCAACAAAGGAAAACAAAAAAGTGTTTCATGACAAGGGACACCACACACACACCCCCGCCGCCTATGTTCCCCAGGTTGGCCGGAAACACCTGGCCTCAGCCTGGCAAGCAGCTGGGACTCCAGCTGTCCTCATTGCACTTGGTTACAGCAGATTCTTGTCTCCTTTGTCCACTGCTGTTATCCCCAGTGCTGGAAACTTTAACTCAGAGATGTGTTCAAGAAATCCTGGTTGAGGGGTCAGGCATTTAGCTCAGTGGCACTACTTGCCTTCTAAATACAAGGTCCTGAATTTGATCCCCGATACGGGGTGTGTGTGTGTGTGTGTGTTGAATTACTGTTACTATTTTTTTGGCACTAGGGACTTGTATTCGCTTTCCCATTGCTGGACACAATACCTGACCCATGACTCAAAGGAGGAGAGGTTTAATTTGGAGGCTGGCAGAAGGGTGGGCAGAGCAAAGATGCTTATCTCCTGGCTGCCTGGGAAACAGAGCGGAGGAACCAGCAAGGAACAGGTCAAGGGTCTCATATAGTACCCCAAGATCTCACCTTCGACACACACATACCCAGAAATGTACTTTATCAAGGGTATTTCTTAAGACAATCAGTTTGATGTAACTAAGGCTAACCCTCACAGGACTGAACTTGGCCGTGCATGCTAGGCAAGCCCTCTACCACTGAACTACATCCCCATTCATTCATTCAAGACAGGGTCTCACAGTGTAGTCCAGCTCACCTCCAACCTTCGATCCTCCTGCCTTTGCATTCCCAGTGCTGAGTTTACAGGGGTGCACCACTGTCTTACTGAAATACCTGACACCTACAAGTTAGGAGGAAAGGTTTATTTCAGATCACAGTTTGTAAAGGTTTCAGTTCATAGTTGGCTGGCTTCAAGGCAGCATGGCATAGGAGAGGAGAAATAGACCGTGGCAGGGCAGGCGGAAAGCAGCAACCCTGCCTTCCATCTTTCTCTTTATATTGCATCCAGGCTACAAGCCCATCGATTGGTGCCACCCACACCCAGGGTGGGCCTTCCCATTATCCACACCTACAACTAGGCTAAAGCAGTAAATGGACTAATTTAGTCCATTTATCACACCCTTAATCCATACACACCCCAGATCCAGTCAGAATTATATGCATACACGACACCTGGCTAAAATATTCATTAAATGAATAGTGTATCTAATTGAAGAACAAATGTTTATCCAGAACCCTGTTGGTGCTTTCCGGGGCCTTAGAATTTATTTATGGTATTGGGGATGGAACAGAGTGACAGCTGAACTATGTTCTCACCCCTTTTTAAATTTTGAGACTGGGTTTCGTTACAGACTTCGTTTGAACGTGTGATCCTTCTGCCTCAGCCTTCGGAGTAGCTCTGATTACAGGCAAATACCACTGCGCCATTCACTACCAGACCCCATCAGTTGTGGAGAAGGAAGAGCGCCGTGGGCTGGAGCAATGGCAGGCAGCCGAGGAAAGACCAGACACCTGTCCATTCTAAACTCTCCTCACAAAAACAATCTTGCCAGGTCGGTATCATAATCCCTTTACCCAGAGTAAAACAGGGAGGTCCAGTGACTTGCCCGATGCCACCCTAAGTGCCATCCCAAGATTCCTGATAAACACTTCCATGCAGCCTTTGTCGCCCTGGAGATCAGGGCGCGCCCGTGATCCGGCCCGGGGTCCTTGGCTCCGGTAGGTGACCACGCTAGCCGGGCCCGCAGAGGGTGGCAGCGCCTCACTCCCAACTCCTCCCCTCTCCCCGCCTCCGGGGGCGGTGCGGCAAAGCGCGGGAAAGCTCAACCTCGGTCCGCCCGCAGGCGCCGGGGGCGGGGAGGGGGCGCTCCAAGGGGACGCTCGGGTCCCCGCCGCGCCGGAGGCCCAGCCCCACGCTACCTGCGGTCGGGCCCGGCTGCCCAGCCCCGCCGGCTCTCCCGGAGTCACCTCTGCCCCACTTCCGGTCCGCAAGCCAGGCCCAGCCCCGGGCCCCAGGCCCGTCCATGTCCCAAATCCTGTACCAGTCCGAGCTCCCCACAGAGGGAGGAGCCGCAGGTGACGCCCGGCCACACGTCAGAGGCGGTGGGCAGTGGTCAGCAGATGACGTCATGCCTGGAGCGTCGGCCCACGCTGCGACATCTGTGCGGCCACGCTGACGTGGGGCTCGGCCTCCGAGAAAACAGCGCGGCCAGATCCAGAGTTCTATGTTCCCTCGCAGTCGGCGCGGTTCTCCTCCAAGCACCCACCGCACCGAAGCTCAGAGTTCTTTAAATTTGCCTAAGTGAACTGCAGCCTGCAGCCTCGGGCAGCCAATAGGGCGGAGGGGGCGGAGTCACACCTGGGAGAGTTACCCTGCGGCCCGAGAAGGGGGAATCAGGCTGGCTTCTTTCGAAGAGCGACAGTAGCGGCGGCCAATCGCTCTTGAGAGGCGCAGACGGGGCATGTGGACTTCGGAGCGGCCAATGGGGAGAGGCTTCTTCAGGGGGCCTAGGCTCCTCGCCCAATGAGGATGAGCGGAATCCACGGGGCTAGTTCCGAGCGACAGTACTTAAGACCAACCCAGCGCGAGGTGGGGCGGGGCGCATACCTGAACGACGGGGGAACTGACCAATGGCGAGTATGGAAGCGGGCAGCTCAGGCCAGGGGCGCGGAGGGAGCGCAGGGAGGAGGGAGGAGGGAGGCCGAACCGTAGAGAAGCAGGAAGTAGCGGCGGCCCCGGGGAGGGCGGCGGCGGCTGCTGCTGGAGCTGGGTAGAGACGGCTGCGTCTCGGCCCGCACTAAAACGGAGCAAGTAAGAGTGGCCGGGGGTAAATACCCGCCCCCGGCCCCGCCCCCAGGGGGCGGGTAAATGCCCCCGCCCCTCCCCCGTCAACTACCTTCTCGTCCGTGCCGCCCCCTGGGGCGGCCCTGGGAAGGCCCGACGCCTCCTCCGTCCCCGGGCGGATGGGCCAAACTCCCGGCCTGGCCAAAGCACAGCTCCTGGCCGGGTAAAGGCGGAGGGAGGGTCGGGGACCCCGAGTCCTGGCGCCCCCGGCCCGAGAGGCAGCCGTAGCGCGGCCTGCGGAGTGGAGGCTGCGGGATGTCGCGACCTAAAATGGTGTCCGTGACCGGGGATGGGGGCGGGGGAGCCGGGCCGGGTCGGGCCGGGCCGAGCCAAGAGCGGAGCCTGCATCCCGGGGCGCAGGTCAGCGCCCGGCCCCCCAGGACTCCTCTCGCGTCCCAGGCCCACCGCACGCCTTGCACCCTCCCGGCTCCCGGGGGAGCCTCCGGGGTCCGCGTGGAGGAGGCGGCGCCGCGCACGGCGGGCAAGGGCCAGGGCCGGGGCCGGGGCGCGTCCGAGCTGGGACACTGGGGGCCGGGGGCCGGGAGCCGCGCGGGGCCGCCCCTCCCCCGCTCCCTCCCCCCCGCCAGTGCTCTGGGCCTCGAGGTGCTGCGCTGCTCCCGGAGGGCCTGGGGCCTGGCCAGGCCCGTCCCTCGCTTCGCGGTCGGCGGGAGCGAGGCAAGCGGCGCTCGCCTCAGTTTCCCCTTTGGCTTCTCTTGTGTACATCCCGCCCCCTCCCCACAGCCCCGGACTTGCTTCCGCGCTATTCCTCGGCAGATGGTAGGGACTTAATTCCGCCCGCTGCCCAGCTTGGCCGCAACCTAATCGCCCCCGGCCGGGCGCCGGCCCCTCGCCCTCCTTTGCGCAGCAGGCCCTGGGCCCGGGCAAAGGGCAGTGGAGCCCCCGCCCTACCCGGGTCCCTTCACTCTCTTCTACTTGAGCCCCTTCCTTCGGTTTGGGGGGAAGAACAGAGGGAAAAGGAGGCGGGGGCAGAGGGGAGCCCAGGAGACCGGGCACTGCAGCCGCAGAAAGGCCTGGGCTTTGCACGGGGGTCGCCTCCTCGGCCTTGAGCTCGCTGCACGGTCGCCTGCCTGCTTCAGGTGGCTCTCGGGTGACCTCTAAGTCATTTGCGCGCCGGAGGAGGAGGTGGTTCCAGAGGCAAGTTCGCAGGTGTTTTCGCCTAGTCCACACTGGTCCCTGACCACCAGACCCCTGTGCTGGGCAGGAGGGAGCCAGGCCCAAGAGGGCCTTAGGGATTCGGTAGGCCAAAAGCAAGGGCTTTGTTTAAACTCAGTTTGGAGAATTAAGCAGGGAGCAGGGTTCGAGAAAGACTCCCCTTTCTTCCTCTAGTTGGGGTCCCCCGCTTGGTCCAAGCAGTGCCAGCTGCCACCTGCTGGGACTGTTTCCAGTTACAGCCTGAGGGCTGAAAGGAGGTGAGAGAATTGGCCCCGGGAAATGCTTGCATCTTGGGCAGGGCATGTGTAAGGATAGAGGCTGCTTGCGTTGCTCCTCCTAGGTGCAGAAACACTTACGGGGAGGGTCTGGTAGGGGTAGACCTGGCTCTCACAGACTCTGAGCTAGCTTCCGAGTTGGTTCAGCGCTATGTAAATCATGTGGGACTTTCGCACTGCAGAGGATTGGGGTTTCGTGAGACTCCTGGGGTTGCCACTGCTAAAGAATATTGAAAAGCTGAGGAACTGCAGTTAGGGAACAGACTAGTGTGAGGAACTCAGAGAAGAACTGACAGGGACCAAGGGGTGGGTGCAGAGCCAGCTTCTGCCCATGTGGTGGCTGTGCCCTGGAGTTGTGGCCCCAAGGGCCAGGAGGGCAGGGGATGTGGTGCTCCAGGGAAGGAGGTGAGCGAGCAGCAGGTGTTTGTGATGGGCGTGGCCCAGGCTGGGCCCTAGTGGCCAGGTTGCTATCGCTGCTTTCCCTTGTCTCTCCTCTTTGTCTCTTTCTGTCCCTGTGTTTTATTCTTCCTGTCTTGGTCGCTAACGTGATCCCCCCAAGTCCATTTCTTCCTGCCGACTCAGCTAGATCTCTCAGTGCCAGTGGTGGCCCTAGGTGACCCCGCTGACCTGACAGGACCTTGGCTCATGTCTCTGACCCCAGCCCTAGCGTCCACTCCTTCTTCACCTCAAGTGCTTTGTTTGGCCCAGCTGTAATAGTAAAGTGTATTCTGGGTCCAGCCCTCATGTTTGCAATTTCATATGATGCCCAGAATAGCCCTGTGATACATGAATTGCCTGTTCCCTCTTTCACACAGCAAAAGGCAGAAATACTTGTGTATACAGCAGGCCTACTGTAAAGATAAGCTGAAAGAGTTTCTTAAGTCTTGGTGCAAGTCGCTGCCCCTTTGTACAGATGGCCTGTTGGATTTCTGTGGACCCCAGAAGACCCATGAAGAGTATGAATCAATCCCATGCACGCATGAGTGTTTGACCTATGGCATTGTATTCATCTTCCTCCTTAATATTGGTATTGATTGATTGGCTCTGTGCTGGGCACAGGAATGGATGTGCTGGTTTCAACTAAGATGTCCCCGAGCCCTTCTGCCCCTGTTACTCTTTTCTGTGTCTGTGCAGTGTTTTCCTTTTTTTTTGGTACTGAGAAATGAGTTCAGGGCCTTGCGCTTGCCAGGCAGGTGCTGGGCTGCCGAGCTACATCCCCAGCCCGAGTGTCTTCCTTTGCATTTGCTGGGTTCCTGTGGCTTGCTGGTGTGGGACGCCAGCCCCTGCAGCAGCTCCTCAGGACCCAGTCCAGCCGAGGTGTACCCGGCTGGAGGGGATAGACAGGTTCTGAGGGAGGAGGTCCAGGATCTCATCCAGGCTTCTCAGTTTCTCCTTTTTCTTCCTGTTTTCATCAGGTCTGGGACCTGCCGCTATGGGGGACATGAAGACCCCTGATTTTGATGACCTCCTTGCTGCCTTTGACATCCCTGACATCGATGCAAATGAAGCTATACACTCTGGGCCAGAAGAAAGTGAGGGGCCCGGAGGCCCGGGGAAGCCAGAGCCCAGTGTGGGAGGAGAAACTGAAGGCACAGCAGCAGCAGCTGAGGATGACCCCGAGGTTCCAGGCCATACCTCTGAGCACGGCCTGCCGGTGCCAGACACTTCCACAGTCAGCGTCATCGTGAAGAACACTGTGTGTCCGGAGCAGTCTGAGACCCTGGCTGGGGGTGCAGGAGGGGAAGGGGCCCAGGCTGGGGGAGTAACCAAGGAAGATGCTTCAGGGGCTTCTCTGATGCCGAATGGATTTGGGGTCTGTGAACCATCCCTTCCAGGAGCCCCACCCTCCCCAGCTCCTTCCAGTGAGGGTACCTGGAAGGAAAAAGCTGTGGAAGGCAAAGCCCCCTTGGACCTCTTTGCTCATTTTGGTCCTGAGCCAGGGGAGCACCCAGACCCCCTGCCTCCTCCTGCGCCCTCCCCACCTCCTGACGGGGCCATGAGCCCTCCTCCTTTCCCCTCACCCTTTGAGCTGGCCCAGGAGAATGGCCCCACGCTGTTGCCACCTAGCTCTTCCCCACAGTCTGGGGCCTTGAAGCAGGGCTGCTGCAGCCCACTTCATCCCCAGGGCCAAGGCCAGCGAGGCTCAGGCTCTAGTCCTGAGGCCACAGGCATCCCTGAAGGAACCTCGCCTCCCCAGGTTGATGGGGTGCCCTTTTTCAAGCAGTCCCCAGGGCACCAGAGCCCTCCTGCCTCTCCTGACGTGCCCAGCTCTAAGCACCTGAAGGAAGATGAGGGGCTGGTGGTCAAGTCTCCCCCTCGAAGTCCCCAGAGTCCCTCTAGTGGTGCCGAGGCTGCAGATGAGGACAGCAACGACTCCCCTGCCTCCTCCAACTCCTCTCGGCCCCTCAAGGTGCGGATCAAGACCATTAAGACATCCTGTGGGAATATCACGAGGACTGTAACCCGGGTCCCCTCAGACCCTGACCGCCCTGCCCCCTTGGCCGAGGGGGCCTTCCTGGCCGAGGCGAGCCTCCTGAAGCTGTCCCCTGCGGCTCCAGCCCCCGAGGCCCCGAAGGTGGTGAGTGTGCAGCTGGGCGACGGCACAAGGCTGAAAGGCACAGTGCTGCCCGTGGCCACCATCCAGAACGCCAGCACTGCCATGCTGATGGCAGCGAGTGTGGCCCGAAAGGCTGTGGTTCTGCCTGGGGGCTCTGCCACCAGCCCGAAGATGATGGCTAAGAACGTTCTAGGCCTGGTGCCCCAAACCCTGCCCAAAGCTGAAGGGCGTGCGGGGCTGGGGACCGGGGGTCAGAAGGTGAACGGGGCCTCAGTGGTGATGGTGCAGCCTTCGAAGCCGGCCACAGGCCCGGGAACAGCAGGCGGCACAGTGATCTCCCGGACCCAGTCCAGCCTGGTGGAGGCCTTCAACAAGATCCTCAACAGCAAGAACCTGCTGCCCGCCTACAGGCCCAACCTGAGTCCTCCCGCTGAGGCCGGGCTGGCCCTCCCACCCACGGGCTACCGCTGCCTAGAGTGTGGCGATGCCTTCTCACTGGAGAAGAGCCTGGCCCGGCACTACGACCGCCGCAGCATGCGCATTGAGGTCACTTGCAATCACTGTGCCCGTCGCCTGGTCTTCTTCAACAAATGCAGCTTGCTCTTGCACGCGCGCGAGCACAAGGACAAGGGGCTTGTCATGCAGTGCTCACACTTGGTCATGAGGCCCGTGGCCCTTGACCAGATGGTGGGGCAGCCGGACATTACGCCCCTGCTGCCTGTGGCTGTGCCGCCTGCTCCTGGACCTCTGGTCTTGCCCATCTTGGGCAAGGCTGAGGGGGCCATGACCTCTGCCCTTGCTGCAGTTGCTGCTGAGGCCCCTGTGCTGCCACTATCGACAGATCCACCCGCTGCCCCTGCCACCCCGTACACGTGCTTCCGCTGCCTGGAGTGCAAGCAGCAGTGCCGGGACAAGGCTGGCATGGCAGCCCACTTCCAGCAGCCTGGGCCCCCAGCCCCCGGGGCCAGCAGCAATGTGAGTCGCCCTTCACGGTCCTCTGGGGTGGGGAGCCCAGGCATTGGGGGATGGGGTCTAGGAGGGCACTAGGTGCTTGGCTAGGGGAAGAAGTGGGGCCGGGCGCCCCTCACTGACTCACTGTGCGGGACCCCTCCACAGGTGTGCCCGTCCTGCCCCATGATGCTCCCCAATCGCTGCAGCTTCAGCGCCCACCAGCGCACGCATAAGAACCGAGCGCCCCACGTCTGCCCCGAGTGTGGAGGCAACTTCCTGCAAGCCAATTTCCAGACCCACCTGCGGGAAGCCTGTCTGCATTTCTCTCGGCGCGTGGGATACAGGTGCGTCATCTCCCTGCCCTGCTCTGCCCAGTGGAACCCGAGGGTCACATCTTGGCACCAGCCTTTTGAGGAGAGGAGCGGAGAGGAGTGGAGCCTGGCCTTCCTGTGTCCCGACGTCCTGTGGCGCTGGCAGCCTCGGCCCTGGGAGGCCCTCCCTGCCTGCCACGTCCCCGTGGGAGTGAGAGCAGGGCGGTCGGGGCTCCAGCTCTGCCCCACAGGCCTGCTCGGGGCACCGGGCCTGCGCAGTGCCCTCCTTTGTCCTGCTGCCCATGCTCCCCCGGCCGCTTCTGGTCCGTGTCCACCCCAGCCTTGGGGACAAGTGGGCTGGGGAGTGGGCGGGGGTGCCCCACCACAGCACCGCGCTCTCCCCAGGTGTCCCAGCTGCGCAGTGGTGTTCGGGGGTGTGAACTCCATTAAGTCCCACATCCAGACGTCACACTGCGAAGTTTTCCACAAGTGCCCCATCTGCCCCATGGCCTTCAAGTCTGCACCCAGCGCCCATGCCCACGTCTACTCCCAGCATCCGACCTTCCTCACGCAGCAAGCGAAGTGAGCCTTGCAGGGGCAGGGGCCAGGGGCCAGGGGGCAGGGGGCAGGGGGCAGGGGCGGGCTCCGCTCTGTGGGTGGGCGGGGTGGGGCGGGCCTGGCATCTGCACGCCCACTCCTCCCTCAGGCTGATCTACAAGTGCGCCATGTGTGACACCGTCTTCACGCACAAACCCCTGCTCTCCTCACACTTCGACCAGCACTTGCTGCCCCAGCGCGTCAGTGTCTTCAAGTGCCCGTCTTGCCCCCTGCTCTTTGCCCAGAAAAGGACCATGCTGGAGCATCTCAAGGTACAGGGCAGAGGCTGGGCATGTGGTGCGCTGGGCTGACCCGGGCCGGGGTCACGAGGGCTTTGGCAGAGTCGAGTGCTCCCCGCAGCCATTCCCGCCTCCCTCACAGAGCACCCATCAGTCTGGCCGCCCAGAGGAGGAGGCCCCTGAGAAGGGGGCTGGAGGTGCCCTCCTGACCCCCAAGACTGAGCCTGAGGAGCTGGCCGTGTCTCAGGGAGGGGCGGCCCCTGCAACTGAGGAGTCGTCGTCGTCCTCAGAGGAGGAGGAGCTGCCCAGCTCCCCTGAGCCCCGGCGCCCAGCCAAGCGGCCCCGGCGGGAGCTGGGGAGCAAAGGCATCAGGGGGGGGGGCGGCGGGCCCGGGGGCTGGACCTGTGGCCTCTGTCACTCCTGGTTCCCTGAGCGTGACGAGTATGTGGCCCACATGAAGAAGGAGCACGGCAAGGTGAGTGCTCTCCGCAGGGTGACCTGCGTGTCCCTGGGGACGGCATCCCAGAGCTGCCTCTGAGCCTCCCCACCCCTGCCTGCAGTCAGTGAAGAAGTTCCCCTGTCGCCTGTGTGAGCGCTCGTTCTGCTCCGCCCCCAGCCTGAGGCGCCACGTCAGGGTCAATCACGAGGGCATCAAGCGAGTTTACCCCTGCAGGTAACCCTGCTCCTGTTCCCTTCCTGTCTGCTAGGTGCACCCACCCTCCCCACCGCTTCTCTCTGGGGTCTGAAGGCCCAGGCCCCTCTGCCCGGTCGGCCTCTGTGCGGTGCCACCACCGGGGCCACCTGCCCCTCCCTTGCAGGTACTGCACAGAGGGAAAGCGCACCTTCAGCAGCCGCCTGATCCTGGAGAAACACGTGCAGGTCCGGCACGGCCTGCCGCTCGGGGCCCAGTCCCCTGGCAGAGGGAGCACCCTGGCTCGGGGCCCCGGGGCCAGAGCCCAGGTAGGCAGAGCCCCAGCCTGCTGTGTGCCAGCTGTGGCAGTGGGCAAGGCTGGCAGAGACTGAGGGTGACGGCGAAACCATTCTTCTGTTCTTTTCCAGGGGCCAGGACGGAAACGCCGCCAGTCTTCTGACTCCTGCAGTGAGGAGCCCGACAGCACCACGCCACCGTCGAAGCCCCCCAGGGGCGGCCCTGGCTCGGGAGGCCTCGGTCCCCTGCGCTGCCGGAGCGGCCCGGTGGAACAGAGCCTCATGGTGGGCTTAAGGGTGGATGGTGGTGCCCAGCAGTGCCTCGACTGTGGCCTGTGCTTTGCCTCCCCTGGCTCCTTGAGCCGGCACCGATTCATCAGCCACAAGAAGAGACGGGGTGTGGGGCGATCGGGCACCCTGGGGCTGGGGGATGGGGAGGAAGAGGCATCTGCCCTGTCCCGGGCTGACCCAGAGGGTGCCGACTGCCTGCCCGCCGCCGGAGGCCCACTGACCTGCAAGGTCTGCGGCAAGAGCTGTGACAGCCCTCTCAACCTCAAGACCCACTTCCGCACGCACGGCATGGCGTTCATCAGGGCGCGGCAGGGCGGCAGTGGGGACAGCTAGGCCCCGGCTGGGCCTGACTGCGTCTTCCCTGGGAGCCTGGGTTTCACTGCTGCTGCCGTTCCTCGTCCCTGAACGGGAGCTTCACGTCACATTGTGTCCAGTCCCTCTTCCCAGCCCTGGAGCTAAAGCTTTGGGGATCATAGTGGTCTGCAGCTCCCCTTTGGGTTTGGCCCTTGGGTCCCAGCCACATGGGCCCTCCATTCTTGCTCTCAGAACCCAACACTAACCGCTCCTGCTGCAGTGGGTGGGAGGACAAGACTCTGGGAAGGACCTACGGGATGGTGTCCCTGCGCGTGCCCCCCACGCTTCAGGCATGGACTGCTGCTCCTGCCCCTGGGCTGGGCCCTGCCCTGCCATCCCACACCCGGCACTCGAGCTCCTCACCCCTGCAGTGCCTTTCACTTGTCTTCTTTTTCCCAGAAATCCAGGTGGGGGGTTGGTGGGGACGAGTCCTGTCATGGGGGTCCAGGGAGAGGAGGGGACAGGCTCTCAGGAATCCTTTATTGTAGTAATAATACTAACTGGGAGGAACCAGACCATTAAAACTGCTCGTGGTTTAATCCCCAGTCGGGTCTCTGTGATTTGGATCATGTGGACTTGGCAGGGAGGGGGGTCAGAACTGGGGAGATGTTCAGAAGGCAGAGAACAAGCAGCTCTCCATCGCATGTGTGGGTGTGTGTGTGTTGCCATTTGTATCCTGGACTCCGTGAGACATGTTAACTGCCAGCCCTCGCCCCCAGTGGCAGATGGCTAAGGACTTTATTTCAAACAAAAATAAAAAATTGAAAGCTACTCCCTGGGTGTGAGGAGGAGATCAGGGTAAGTTCCCTCAAATACTGGAGAGACTGGCGATTCCCTTCCCTGCCCTGATGATGGGCAACTCGGCAAGTGCAGGATCCCTACAGCACAGCCCATAATCAGGGACCAGCTCAGTGCTGGGGGGCGGGGACCGGCCCAGGATGGATTGGGCAGCAGCATGGTCAACGCTAACCACAGGACTGAGCCCTAGTACCAAGGAGCTACTTGGTCCCCCTTCCCGGGCCACAGGACAGATGAGGGCAAGGCCTGTGGGAGGCCGGTCCCCTACATTCTTCAGCTCACTTCTCGAGGGCAGTAAGTGTTGGGGTCCATCCGGTGTAATACTGACTGGGCCAGGGCCAGCCCACAGTTCTGGACCCACAGCAGGCTCTCTGCCCCCAGCTAGCTCTCGTGGTTACCATACGATCCTTTGATTTCTCGCCTTCTGTTTCCTTTGGGTGGATGGTTGGGTAGGTGGGGTTTCCTGGTTTGGGATTTCTCGGACCAGCCCTCCAGGAGGGCACCAGGTCCCCCACTGCGCCTGGGCCTGAGGAGGTGGTATCACATGATGCCGTTGGTGAGGTACTGGAAGCCGTCATAGAGCTTGGTGGTGATGGACCGCATGCTGCCGTCCACCATCTGCTCCACCAGCAGCTGGAGCTGCTCCTCCGTCATGCTCATGTGGAACCTCTCTTTGAGGTTGCGAATGGTACTGGAGCCGTGGAAGCAAGGAAGCTGCGAACCTAGGGGGAGAGGTGGGGTTGAGGGTCCTGGGCAGACAGGAAGGAGATGCAGTGTAGCAGATGTGGAATACGGAGCCGGGGTGCCCGTCCCGCCTCAGAGCCCTGGCAGCAGACAGAGCTGTGTGGGTGCAGAGGACAGGGTTGGCCCGGTTCGGCCCACGCTCTGCCCTCCACAGGTGAGGGGTGGCCAGGGGCTCTGAGTGGGGAACTTATCTGCTCACAGGACTCTGCCTGTGCTACGTCTGACACTCACAGATGACTTGGGCCACCATCATCACGGGGCCAGACGGGGAGGCTCCTGTGCCACAGCGGCAACCTGTGGGGTGGGGGTGGGGGAGACTGGCAGCTAGGTCTGGTGTTCCCCTGGCACCTTGAGGAGGGGAGGAAGAAAAGGCCCAGAGGAGCTGGCAGAGGAGCAGGCAAAAGACTGTAGCTGTCATGGCAACGAGGCAGACCAGGATGGCTGACACTGGCAGAGGAGGGGCCTGAGACGGGGGCCAGGCCAGGGCAGTCAGAGTCAAAGTGGACTAGGGAGGAAACATCCGAGGTGGCAAAGCCAAGAGTGATGGAGGGAGGAGACAAGAAACTCAGAGCCGGGCAGGGGGAGGAGCGGGGAAGGAGCAGGAGCCTGGGCAGGGGACTTTCTCTCCCTGAGGGCACCCAGGAGGTTGTTTCTGCTGCCCTTGCCACTTCCGCAGACCCAGCTCTGCCTCGGTCAGGAGCAAACGTCCTGAAGGAGAAAGAAACTGGGCACTGGGTCGGAGCTGGGACCTCCCAGGAACTCCCCACACCCTGCCAATGTGGTTCTGGAGGTGGCATCGACTTTCTGGAAGCCCTAAGCGCCAGCACCCCAACCTGAGTGGGAATCCAGCCCACCTTGCTGCATGATCTCCACGATCTGCACCACCTTATCCATGTGCTTCCGAGCAGCGATCAGCCCCTGCAGCATCAGCATCTTGTAATAGTTGAACATGTCGCCGTCCAGGCCGCCCATCACCTGGGGAGGGGCCGGGGTGCTGTGGGTCAGTTCTCTCGCAGGCCTCCCGCAGCTCCTCCTCCTCTCTTGGGCCGATAGAGCTCCCAGAAGTCCTGTCTCACTCCGACCTCCGGCCATCCCCGTTCTGTTCCCTCCTCACCTGCAGGGAGCTCATCCCTCCCTCTCCCAGGGCAGAGAGCACAGTGACCCTGGAGCACTGCTCCCTCCCACTCACGTCTACAAACTCTGTGGTCAGCTTGAAGGCTGAGGTCTCGAAGCCCAGGTTTCGGGGTGAGCTGGACAAGATGAAACCAAAGTCGATGTGGATAATGTGGCCTTCTGCGTCCAACAGGATGTTCCCATTGTGTCTGAGGTGGAGAGAGGAGGAAGGCGCAGTGGTGAGCTGCACTGAGGCTGGATCACGGCCGCGGGGCGCCAGGCCAGGTGGGAGTCCCCTGCACACTTCCCACTACCCAGAACTTCAGGGTCTACAGCCAGCAGTGGAAAGACAGTGATCAGAAAAGAAAACTGCTAACAAAAGCTGCAGGGTCTGAAACTGCTAATATTAACAAGAGAATCAGAAGTTTAAGATTAGCCCAATTTCCTGGAAACTACACTTCAAGAATTCAAACTGATCCCAGCCTAGTAAGAAGCCAGAAGCACGCAAAGGCCTCTGAAGCTCCAGGCTCCGGCCAAGCCCTGCTAGGTGAGAGACCTCACTCAGATCAGGTAACTGTGCTGCACTGGTAATTCCTATCAGCCATTGCAAAATAGAAGCCCCTAAGAAGGAAGTACCAGAGACATAGGGCTGAGGGGACCCTAAATGTAAACTACTGTGGGGGTTTTAAGTGGAAAGTTTTAAACCACTTTTATGTGAAAAAACAAAACAAAACAAAAAACACCCCAGGAGTCAACCACTACAGGGCGGCTGTAGAGGAGGAAGAGTTAAAAAGAGAGAAATCCCAGGTCTTTGCGATTCCCACATGAATGGCTGGTGGGAAGAAAAATTAACATGCTAAGCATGTGAGGCCCAGTCCTCTCACTTCAATAGTGGCTTTGTTAGGGCCAGCCTGCCTTGGTGTGAGGCCACCTTCTCTGGGGATGGCTGGCCGGGCCTAAAGAGGACAGAAGGGGTCACACAGAGTGCCCCCCGGGAGGCACTGAGCACTGAACAGTACCCACTCACCCGAGAGCCTGAGGTGTCCTGGGATGGCCCCACGTGCGCACACACTTTACACGTGGGCACACAGGGACTTGCTTGCCTGGGTCCCAAGGCGGACTGGTGGGTTCTTTCTTCCTCTTTTTTATTCTTCCCGGTACTGGGGATCGAACTCAGGACCTTGCACTTGTAAGGCAGGCACGGTGCCACTGAGCTAAATCCAAGGCCCTTTCTTATTTCCAGTTAGTGCCAGTTGGGACTTCAGAATGAGCCCCAGGGAACATGCACTGTTGGCCTTTCTTCCCAGCGGCTGACTGCACACTGGCCCGAACATATCTATTCTTTCCTTTTTGTTTTTGGTACAGGGGATTGAATGCAGGGTCTTCACACTGAGCCCTTTTTATTTTTAAATTTGAGGCAGGATATTAAGTTGCTAAATTGCCCAGGCAGGGCTCAAATTTGTGATCCTCCTGCCTCAGCCTCCCAGGTTACTGCAATTATACACATGTGCCACCACGCCTGGCTTTCTATCCTCCCCCCTTCCTCTCCCTCTCCTTTTAAAAAGTAAGCTCTGAGCCAGATGTGGTGGCACACACCTGTAATCACAGCACTGGGGAGGCTGAGACAGGAGGATCACTGTGAGTTCAAGGCGGCCTGAACTGCATAGCGAGATCCTGTGTCAAAACCAAACCAAACCAAACCAGAAAAACAAGCTCCGGCAAGTTTTGTTAAAAGTTTTGGATGCCTGACCCCTGACTAACCTGTCCTCACATGCTTGCACCAGTGACAGGCTATCCTCCGTGGTGTTTCCGGACACTGTACCCGCTTGGCTCAGGCCCTGGCAGTGGCCAGCACTGGTCGGGCACAGTACTGTAGTGCAGACTCCCTCAGAGCTGGGCAGTTGGTGGCAAGGAGGACCAATTTCATTTTGACTTAAAACTTCAGTCTGCTAGAGCCCCAGCACCTGCTTTGTGTCTAGTTATTCTTTTACTGTAGTCTTTGTTAGTTTACATCTATGATACCGTACTCCCAGACCTCCTCCTATCTCCAGTCTACCTCCCTGCTTCCAGTCGTCTCTTCTTCATTTGCTCCTTATTTTGGGTTTCTTGTGTAGGAGACACCATACCTCTGTGTCTGATTTCCTTCATGTCACATGGTCTCAGAGTGTACCCATTTTCCTACAAGTCACTTGCTTATCCTTTTTGATGGCAGAGTAGTGCTCCATTGTGTGCAAATGCCACATTTTCTTTTTTTTTTGGTACAGGGGATCAAACTCGGGACCTTGCGCTTTCGAGGCAGGCGGCAGAACCACTGAGCTAAATCCCCGGCCCATGCCACGTTTTCTTCATCCACTGATCTGTTGGTGGATACACAGGCTGCTTCCAAGACTTTGCCCCAGCACCTACTTTCCATTTAGTTTTGTCAGTTGGAGCCTAGAATCGACCAACTTCTACTGTTTTTATTTCTGCAGTGACTTTTTCTCTTTGTGGGCACCATCTTCCTATCATAGATGCCAGATAGCTCCTAATGATGAGGAGCCCTGCATCTATTCTGCTTTTAAGATTATGAGGTCTTGCAGGCTGGCACTGAACTCGAATCTCCTGCCTTAGCCTCCCAAGCAGCTGGGATTACAGACGGCTACCATAGCACCTGGCTCCTTCCTCCATTTAGTTGTTATAAATAATCGATCACCTCCCCACCAAGGATAGATCCCATCTTCCAAACATAACAGTTTCCTGAAGAAAAGCCCTGAGCCTGACTAGCGCCAGTTTTCCTTCCACACCTCTGCTCAATGCCGGGCTGAGCCCTTGGCGCTTTAGGGCCTAAGTTCAAAATCCTGATGCTTCAGGGACAGTGGAAGCCTGCAGAGAAGCACCTTATAATGATCACCCTGCAGCCCTCCCAGCAGAGCCCTCAGTTAGGGGTACGGTTCACTTGTGGGCCGGTGGGGTGGAATAAACAAGGTTCTAAGTCACCTGACCCTTATTTTCTTTTTTTTGGGTACCGGGGATCGAACTGGGGACCTTGTGCTTTTGAGGCAGGTGGCGGAACCACTGAGCTAAGTCCCCGGCCCATGACCCTTATTCTCTTCATGAGGAAACACTTGTCTGACAGAACATTCATCCTGCTGGAATGAGGAGAAGTTCATGGGTGGGGGCTTCACCTTCATCTCCACCACACCCCGCATTCGTCTTCTTTTTTGCTCAGCCACAGCCACTCCCTTTGAACCAGGCTCCATTACCTTTCGCCTGGTCGCCGAAGGCCCAGTTACACCCACCCTCACCCACGGTGCCACAGGGCACTGACTGAACACGGAAGATGCTGCTCTTTCCTCTGCCTGCAAACAAAGCTTCCGGCCCCACGAAACCCAGGGCCTGTCACACGCTTGGTAGTGCTCCACCCCACACCTAAGGCCCTTCTAATTTAGCCTGTTTACCTGTCTGATGTCACTGTGCGCTAGTCCTCTGCCATGTAATATAGTCCAAGCTTTAATCCCACTAAAATATTTTCTCACAGGGAACGTATTTCCTCCACAGCTTTGTCTGTTCTCATTATCCCTTGACCTCTAGGTCCCTGCTCACTCAGACCCTTACTCCTCTCATGAATCCTTCATTTCTTGCTCTTTTACCCTAGTGCTTGTCAATCTGCCTGCTTGGCGCACTGTCATTTAAATGTATCTGTCTCTGCTAAAAATATGTTGCTTGCTCCCCAACTGAGAGCTACACCTGGAAGGACAGAGGGGACTGGCGAAAGATGAGGGGCAGCAGTCACTTACCTGTCCTTAACTTGCAGCAGGTAACAGACCAGGCAGTAGCCAGCGCAGCTTTGCACAAAATTGCGCTGGGCACTGAGGAATGCCTCAGTGGTGTAGCTGCCGTGTTCCTGGAGGAAGTAATCGAGCAGGGACAGCTGGGATTGTTTCTTCACCTGATGGATGGACACAGCGTTGACCACTGGTTCAATCATGCCACTGTCAGCCGAGATCACAAGAATCTTGTATGGCTTGATCCAAAGGGGCACTCGTTCCTGTTCCCAAATGGACTGCGAGGAGACATGGAGGTGTGAGCACTCTCGTCTTTCTCCAAGTGAGGGAAGAAGGCTAAACCTCCCTCCTCTGACTGCTCTCTTGGTGGCCTTGGATTGTAGGCCATCAAGTGCGCCAGACCCACTGACCTACTGAGAACCAGGAGGCACTGACGACAGGAAGCTACTCTTAGAGGTTTGTGAAGACAGGAATCAGAGGCAGAATGACCAAGAAAGGCAGAGGAAAGAGGAAACCTCATTGTCACCTGACAAGCAGGGAGAGTGGAAGATAGTAATGTAAGTTCAAATAATAAGAAAAACGACAGCGAAGGATTTAGGCCCAAAGCAAGCTTCTCTAGAAAACAAACATATTGATACAAAGAACTGGATTGAATGGGTGAAGCTGCTTGCTGGCAAGCAAGCCAGGGGTCTTGGGGATCAATATCCCAGCACACTGTACCCTACCCACTACAGACCATTTGGAAAGTTCTGACTTTGGGGTTTTTTTTATGTAGCCCAGGCTGGCCTCGAACTCTTGGTGATCCTCCTGCCTCAGCCTCCTAAGTGCTGGGATTACAGGTGTTTGCCACCGCCCCTGGCTTGGGAAACTGATTTAAGGGAGAAACAAACCCAGCATCCTGACAAGGGTCAGAAGAGGGCAGGTGCAGTTTACAACAGAGCCAACAGAGGTCACTGTGCAGCTGTCCCTGAGGCTTCACTTCCCAGGCCAGCTGTAGTTTAATCTGCTTCCAACTGAGAGGCTGAGAGGCAGCTGGAGCTGGTCCCCAGCAAAGCTCCCTGCAGCCCCGCCTTCCTGTGTGGTCACTCGGACGGGGACGGAGTGGAGCTAGGCTGAATTCCCTTTCCCCTTCCTCCTACCCTCCTTTATTTCTATGTTTGTGTGTGTGGCACTGGGGATTGAACCCAGGGCTTTTGAACTGAGTTACAACCCCAGCCCTTTCTATTTTTTAAGACAGGGTGTCACTACTGGCCGGGGATTTAGCTCAGTGGTTTCGCCGCCTGCTGCACTGCGCAAGCGCAAGGACCTGAGTTTGACCTCCAGTACCAAAAAAAAAAAAAAAAAGGGCCTCACTAAGACTGGGCTTGAACTTGCAGTTCTCCTGGTTCAGCCTCCATGGTTGCTGGGATTACAGGCATGTGCCAACCATCCTGGCTCTTTCTTTCTTTCTTCTTCCCTTTCCTTACCTGCAGTTGCTTCAACACCTGGAAGGCCAGCAGCTCCTGCCGAAGGTCATCACCACACTTGACAATGACTGACAGGAGCCGCCAATTGGGGAGATGGCCATAGGGAGAGGCTTCTCTGATCCGCCTGTTGAGAAAGAAAGACATAAAGGATGTCACGGGTATTGACGTCAGGGTGAGGACGAAGAGGACCTGGGAGTCTGAAGGAGTTTCTGGAGGCCGACAGGCAATAAAGTCGGTGCTGTCCATGGGCTTACAAGACGAGGGGACCCTAGAGTATCTGTGTGCTATACCTTTCTGGCAGAACTAAGCTTGCTTCACAGAAACACTGGCATTAAGTTAAACTGGTGATGATGTTTCTTAGTCCCAGCCTACCTTACAGAGTGGATGTGCTCTGCTCTCATTGGCTTGTTTTATGCCTATTTATAAGCTTTCTAACTACTGTTTGACAAAGTTCTAATATTTTAGGGTGCTGACTACAGAATAGACAGGATTAGACTTGAATGGATTCCAGATAAACTCAGTCTGAGAAGCACTCTGTAAATCTCTGACACGGACGGCTCAGATTTGGCAAGAAGGGTTTTCCGATCCTGACTCCCGTTGAATGTCACATCCCCTCCGCAGGGGATACTCCGACTGACCGCCAGTGGGGAAGCTCCCTCCGAGTAGGGGCTAACTTGGCGGTGCCTTCAGAGACAAGGGGGAAAGGGACAGTCAGCGGTGTCAAGCCTACCACAGTAAGTCGAGCTGCGGAGGTTATGAAAGAGGGTTCCTAATGCACGACCGCCGAGAGAAGCCTTTCTAGCAAGTGCAGCTGTTAGGCATCTTTTGACTTAAGTTTTCTCTTGGATTTGACCTCACAATCTCTAGTGATAACCTCTTAAGGCTTCCCTTTATTTGTGCTCCAGCTACTTCTGATGGCATCGGCACAGCAACCCAACAGGAGAGCCAGCCATACAATAGGGTCCTCAAGGTCTTGGAGACTGAGGGTTTGCCAGGTGTGGTGGCACACCCCTGTGATCCCAGCAATCGGGAGGCTGAGGCAGGAGGATCACTGGGAATTGGAAGCCAGCCTGAGCTACATAGTGAGTTCAAAGCCAGCCTGAACTGCATGGTGAGACTTTGTCTCAAAAAAAAAAATGGGAAAGAAAGACTGAAGGCTGTACTAAAGTAAGGGCGGAGTAGTAAATGGTACCAAAAAAATGGAACCATTTACATTAGGCTTTTTTTCCTTTTGGGACAAGTAGCTTCTTCAAACTTCCTCAGGCTTTGGGCATAAACAATTACCCTCACCTCTCCTCAGCTCAGATAAAGGGTCAGAAGATGCAGACCCTGGCTCCAGAAGTGAAGCTCAATTTCATTCCTTTGACAAGGGAGGGAGAAGTCCCGGTCCAGGGCGGGACAGAACAAGGCTGAATGCACCTATCGTTCCCTGTATTCCCTCCCCCTGCCGTTCCCGCTATGAAAGACCCCAGCATGCCTGGACACAGGGAGAGGGTGATGAGGCAAATGGGTCCCTCCGTCTTCCCTGAGCTAGCTTTGAATAAATCCTTTTTATAAAAAAAGATGGTGCAGAGAACATCAGTGATTTTCTTAGACATTTCAGAGGGTGAGAGCCGCGCCCTGCCCCACTCACCGCACTTTCTCCTGCCAGGGCTCTTTGAGAGCAACTGCAGAGGGGTCCTCTGGGTCTCGCTTGAAGGCTGTGGGGGTGTGAGCCAGCTGCTCGGAGAGGCGCCGTCTAGCAGGAAGAAAATACGTCATGTGCTGGAGGAGCTACCCCAGAGCCTCATGCCCCTGTCTATGCCAGTGTTCTCTGCACTGTTCCTGCATTCTGGGCACAAAAAGACAGGAACCGAGGCTGAGAGGGACTCATGGGAGGAAGCGTAATTAGTGGACTGTTTTGCTAAGCTGGTGGTTTGAGATCACGTTAAACTGCAGAGCACCCGCCCTCCTGCCCTCTGACCCAGCAGTGACTTGGGATGGGAAGGGCCCCAGAACCTGCATTCCCAACAGGTTCTGATTTCCTCTGCCTGGATTCTGATGCACATCTATTTCTGACCCCACTTTGAGAATCACTGCTCAAATTCTTTTCTCAGGCTCTTGCATCTCTTTGAGATCTTCTTAAAATTTTATTTCTTTCTGCAGTAGTTTAAGCAGTCTCAACCTGCACCTTTACAGCGTCAGGTTTGACAGTCTTAGGACAAGCACAGAATAAGAAAGAAGAGGCAAAGACACTGGCAGACGCAGACAAGAGAACAGAGAGGCAGTGTCTGGAAGAGGGACGGAAAAGGAGGGTGACCTGGGCGGCCATACCGGATGTCCCCCGCTGCGATGAACACAGGCTCTTTGCTCTCCTGGCTGGTGATGCTGTCCACGGAGAACTGGGAGATGTTGTCACAGCTGTTGGTGTGCACCTCAGGGAGCTGAGGATGGCAGGGCAGGGGTGATCAGTGCACTAAGCATGGTCTCCCTCTCTCGCCGCCGCTGCCTGCTCGCCTGCCCGCCTGCCCTTGCCACACACGTTCTGCTGTCCCTGCCAGCCTGCTCCAAAGGCCCCCTGGCTCCACACACCCTCACCGCCGGGGCCCCACACTGCACAGGGGCTCATGTGGACCCAGCAGCAGTGCTTCTCCAAGTGTGCACTGCTGCTTCAGAACTGGTTGAGACACCTGCTGAAACGCTACCCCACTACCCCACTATCAGTCCGAATCAGAATTACTGGGACCGAAACCTGGAAGTCCAAATTTTTAACAGATTCTCCAGCACAAAAGCTGACAAATCACTGCCGTGGCCATCACAGAATCCTCAGCTTTGAGTCTCAGACTGAGACCCCTGTGCCTAGGGGTGTTTCCCCCCGGGGTTCTGGACTAGATTCTTCTGACTACCTCTTCATCTAAATCACACAATTGGGTGTCCCATTTCTTCAACTTTTTTTTTTTTTTTTTTGGTACCGGAGATCGAACTCGGGTCCTTGGGCTTGAGGCAGGCGGCGGAACCACTGAGCTAAATCTCCGGCCCAGGTGTCCCATTTCTAACTGAACCCAACCCCAAGGCCCCTATCCAGTTACTCCTGCCCAGGTTCCTCCCTTTGACTGCACCTGTCACCCAGTGCTCTTGCTTTGTACAGAGGATCTTAACGTTTTTCTTAAATGTTTTTTTTTTTTCGGTACCGGGGATCGAACTCGGGAATCCCCGGCTCTTAAATGTTTATGTCTAACCTTCCAACTGGACTGTAAGCTCAAGGACAGCTTTTCACAGAATGCCCTACACAAAACCCTGCTCTGGGTCTCTGTAGCCGCAGAATAAAGGTCAAGGTTCCTGACAAGCTCCTCCCCACAATCTGGCACGTGCCAACCCCAACCGCCGCAGCCTGATCCCTCACTGTCTCACCTTACACCCACGGCCAGACAAATGCTCTTTCATTCCTGTCATGCCAGCGACCACACTGTCTCAGTACAGACTTCCTTTGCCTGAAGGCCCTCCATCCACTTCTTCCTGCCATCCTCAGCCTAGCTGAGAAGTGACTTCCTCCAGGAAGCTGCCTCCCCCACCCAGGGTGCTCCCACGCCCTCCACCTTCTCCCCACAGCCTGGGTTACACCACATCACACCTATCTCCCTCTGCTCCTCTCCTCGCTCCTGCTAGGCCCTAAGCTCCTTCTAGGGGGGCCGTAGCTTGTTCACTAGCACACAGCACTCAGGTTTGCACACAAGGCCCTGCATACGCACTTATTGAGAGAGAGCACCTGACTCACTGCTCTGTTACCATAAGACAACTTTCTTTCTTTGTTAAAAATAAAGTCATTCTATGTCATAAATGAAATGGCTAGAAAAACAATGTCTTTAAAGGAGAAATGTCTTCTATCTTAGGAAATTTGCTGCACTAAAACCATGCTGTGAAGTTATAGTATCGTTGAAGTGTTGTTGCCTTATGTCTTTTTTTTTTGGTACCGGGATCAAACTCAGGACCTTGCGCTTGTGAGGCAGGTGGCGGCACCACTGCCTACATCCCCAGCCCACCTTAATTCTTAATTCTATGATGATATGAAGAAATTCAGTCCTGATTTAGATACAGAGCCAACCTTTTCTTAAGAATAAACTCTGCCACACTGACCACTGTTCATATAGGAAATTGATTCATAATTTAAAAGTATTTTGAACATTAAGACAACTTTCTATAGCAAAGTTCAATAAATATTTTCAATGAATTCCCCTCATTCCCCTGGTTCTAGGAGCCACTCCTCACATCTAACTTGAACTCATTCAGGGAAACGAGGCCCATCCGAGTCTACCCAGGCCAGAGAGGCTCAGAGCACACCCGTGTCATTCTCTGCACTACCCCCACCACTTACCTGGGCTCTCGCCTCCTCCTGCCAAGGCCGAGACAGCGAGTCTCAACACACAGCAGGGCCTGGAGATCAGGAGGCATGCCCCACCTTAACCCCTGGAGCTCCCTTACCTCCACCTGCAGCTCGCCGATGTCGTCCACCGACCAGGCCTCGTCGTCATTGTCATAGTTGGGCACAGTGCTGAAGCTGCCCGCCCGCTGCTCGTGGGTGATGCCACACTCGGGCAGATTCTCTACGGACCGTGTGCTCCGGATCCGGTTCTCAGGGATCCGGGCAGGGACACTGGCAGTGTCGAAGTTTTCACATTCAAGGACTTCCACATAGATCAGGTAGGGAGCCTATGGGGTAGCGAGAACAGCATCTGAAGCTTACCTCTACCACTGCCTCCACACTGCTAACTTCCTGCTGCCCACTCCAAGCTCCAGCCCGCATCCATCAGCCCTTAATCCTCCGGATGCCACATCAGGGCTGGGGCTGGTCATGGCTGATTCCCTATATAAAGAATCTGGGTGAGAGAGTGCACAAGTCTTCCAAATGTTTCAGCTGGGCTTCAGAATGCACAGACAGTGCAGTTAGGCAAATGTTTCAACTATTAATTACAGCTTGGAAGAGAGACCTAGAAGCCTCTGCTGGCTTGTCCTAAAGCCAGGCCCTGGCCAGGTGGGTGGTGCACACACCTGTAATCCCAGCACTTGGAAGACTGAGGCAGGAGGATTGCTTTGAGTTTGAGGCCAGCCTGGGCTACATAATGAGTTCAAGGCCAATCTGAATTACATAGCGAGACCCTGTCTCCAAAAGTAAATTAAAAAAAAAAAAAAGGGCCCAAGGAACTGCTGTGGACGAAATGACTGGACCAAACTGGCCACTATCCCATGGAGGATTCTAATTTTCAGCACTTCCTCTGAAAGAAGAATCGAACCCTGAGTACTCATTCCTTACAGGAGGGCTAGAGCAGAGCCACCAAAATGACTATAAAGGGATGGACAGCAGGAGGCACGTTGAAAAATTTAGGCCTCTTTGGTCTAGAAGAGCAACAGGAGGGAATCATGAGGTAGAGACAGATGGATACATGCACCCTGGACAACAGGAGCCTGGGGTGTTGGTGGGGAATTCCTGGACAATCATGGGAGCAGAGTGGGGGCAGCAGTAGGTGTGGGCCAGAGCCCGCTCACCTTGTCCTTGGAGTTGAGGACAACAGCCTGTGTGTGGGGCACACGGACCACGTGGTGGTCAAAGCCAGCAGTGGGCAGCCAGACCCGGGCAGGGAGCTTATGGTTGAGCAGGGAGAGCTCTGAGATCAGCCGCTGTGTTTTCTGCTCTTTGGTGGGGAGCGTGGCCAGCCGTTTGCCAATTGCCATGAGGGACTTGATGAATTCTCGCTCAGGAGCCAGCCGGACAGGCTAAAGGGGGTTGGGATGAAACAAAAAGACGGTGAAAAACTACAGAAACAAGTAGCTCACACCCTCATCACCCTGGCCCTGTTGGCCAAGGACCCCAAGTGTCGAGAGAAACTTTCTGCCATGGTAGGAGATTCCACCCGCCCCACCAAGCTCCAACTGAGTATGGCCAGCATATTCCTTCCCGTCTATTTATTTTTTTGGTACTGGGGATCGAACTCGGGTCCTTGCGCTTGCACAGCAGGCGGCGAAACCACTGAGCTAAATCCCTGGACCCTGTCTATTTCTTGAGAATAAGGGGGCCCCATGTCGATTCTGGGATGTACCCCTCTTCTCTTAGACTGTGTTCTTCAAGGACTGTCCAGAGGCTGTAGGGCAGGCAGGGCAGTCTCTGGAGAGGTCCTCCCAGGACCAGAGAGGGGCGCTGCTTACACCTGAGGTGCCTCACCCCCACTCAGGCCCCTGGGCTGGGTCTCCACTGAGGGGCTCCCAGGGCCTACATGCTGGGGGACAGAACACTAAGCCAGCATTTCCCTTTTCAAAGAAGGAAGGACTCTTCATCCAAAGGACTTGTTGCTTCCCATGGCATTCCACAATGTTGTCTGTCTCACAGTTTCTTTGTTTTGTTTTGTTTTTTTGGTACCAGGGATCGAACCTGGATCCCTGCGCTTGCAAGGCAGGTGGTGGAACCACTGAGCTAAATCCCCGGCCCCTCACAGTTTCTTATAAGGGGTCAGGGCACATGCAGGGGATGAGGAAATGAGCAAACTTTGCATTAATGAGGAACAACCAATAATCAGTGGGCAAAGAAAAAGCAGAGGGAGGGAGGGAGGGAGGGAGGGAAGGAGGGGTGGGTAGGTGGGTGGAGAAAGCAATAGCTCCTTGAAGGTCCCTCTCAAATGATTCCTTCTTGGCCCCTCTTCCTCAACCTCTCAGGGACCAGGGCCCTCCTAAGAGTCCCCTGCTCTGAGCTTGGCTCCTCCTGGCAGCCCTTCAGTCATTCCCAGAAAAGGTAAACTCAGTGTGCGTGGAGAGTACGGTGGGGTGCAGAAAAAGATAGACTCAGCTAAACATAAAGAAGGCTCTGTTCCCCATCTAAGTTCTTCTACCATAAAGGGCATTTCACCAAAACAGCCACCCCACTCCCCATTCCCGCTCTTCAGGGAGTTAAGAACATTACCTCTTCTTACAGGAACAGCATTTCACTCACCAGGCTTTTCTCTCCCTTTCTGAGTGTGTCTTGCTTAGTTTCCTGATTGAGAATGTCTACCCTCACTCCCTCACACTGCAAAGAAAGAGCTTCTTTTGAAAACTAGGCAGTACCAGGTCCACCTGTGCATGTGTGACAGAGCCAGGGTGCAAAGGACAGCTGTCTCTCGGCCTCTACCCTGCCGTGGGAGGAGGCAGGCTGTCCCAGAGCAACATACAGTAATGAAACAGCTGGGATGAGTCAGGAATGCTTTTGGGGGCAAAGTTGAAAAGAGAGAAAGAAAAGGAAGACAATAGAACTGAGCTTCTATAGTCCCTACAAATGTCCTGGAGGCCTAACAGAGAAAGAGAAGAAAGGGAAATTAGAAGACTCACTCGTCCTGCTCCCCTAATCCATCCACTCAGTGGCAGGTGGTCACCGTTCCAAGGGCCTTCCATCCCAATGAATTCAGTCTTCTTAGATTAGAAAGGCAGAATTCCTTCCCACCCTGAGTGATGTGAGAGTATGTTGGGAATGTGACCCCAGGCCTCCAGAGAGGCTCTGCCACATGGGAGGCGACAGGAATGATAACTGAAAGGGGATTAGCACAGAACATAGAAAACTGATTGGATAGACATTAAAAAAAAAAAGGAAAATAAAAAAAATCAGCCAAACTCCCAGAGGGCCCAGCATTTCCTCTCACGTCTTTGCCTGGCAACAAAGAGCAAGACCCCATGGGGCTAGAGGGTCCGGGACAGTGCACAGGGATGAGAAGGGAGAATGAAACTAAGGGGCATCCTGGGAAATGAGCTGGGAAAAGGGAAGAACTCAGTCCTGGAAGAAAGGTGGCTGAAGTTAAAAAAGAAAGCCAGTTGAGGGGAGGCAGAACTTTCCTTCAGGTCCAGTCCTAACTGCTTCTGGAGCTGGCACACCCAGCACAGGGCCTCAAATTTAGAAGACTCAATAAATATTTGATGGCCTGACGGCAAAAGCCACAGGGAAAGAGCTCTGTGCAGGGGAAACGGGATCCTGGGGGTTTCTGCCAAGCAGTTCTTGGCTCTAACCCAGGAGTGAATTCTACCTCTCTCCCAGCTGTTTCCTCCTGAGCCCTAGGAGCTGGGAGCTGAGAAGTGTGGCATCCCAGCTGTCTCTGAGACAAGATCGACAAAGCTGTCCCAGCCTGGGCTCAGGGCCCTGGCAGCAAAGGTCAGGGGCTCCTCCAGGTCTGGGTGCTCTGGCAGACCTGATAGGGAGAAGCTGAGCTCCCAGGAATTAAAGAGGCCTTTGAATTCCAGCCTTGATCTGGGTGCTCAGAAGACCTGGGACGGAGAGGAAATGCGGCCGTGGGGGGAGCCTGCCACCCAGCCCCAGCCTGGCCCCACTTACGGAACTGAATGAATTAGCAATACTCTCGGTGCTGGAGGAGAGCTCCTGGGAAAGGGCCGGAGGGCAAGGGGAGAAGAAGGGACAGGGAGGGTAAGGAGAGAGACAAAGGCAAAGAATTTAGCTCCACCTTGGACCATAACTGCTTCTCCGGTGCAGCTCTGTCTTTGTGCTTTAAAGAAAGCAAGCCAACCCAGAGACGCCACTCTCCCAGTTTCTAGACCCCTGCAGGAGAGCTGGGAGGCCAGGCCGGACCTTGAGGTGAGAGGGGCCGAAGAGACAAGAAGTCTCTCTCTTTCACTCTGTTCCTGCTGGGTCAAATCTTTCTGAAGTAATCTTCCTTTTAAGATGACACCTAAAGCTGAGTTCCTGGGCCAAGCTTGCCTGCTCTTTCTCTTCACCTCTGACACACCATCAGCCAACCCCTCCTCCTCAGCTGAGGACCGCCAGAGACTGGATTTAACAAGCTGCATGACCCTCATACTGGAAGCCCCAAGTTCCTCCGGCTTCTTAGAAATCTCAGGGAGTAAAAAGAATTAAACTTTCAGTGGCAAGCACATATTCTTCCCCTCCAATCAGACTTATTCTCACCCTGGGAAAACTAATCCCAGCCTTGAACTTGTGTGACGAAGGGTACCCCGGGCCCATGAACTTGAAACTCGTGGGCTGGGTGCCGGTGGAAGGAAGGATTCATCAATCAAGCCTCTATCAAACCTCAGGCTTCCTAGCAGGCTATTTCATTTTTTTTTTTTTTTTTTGGTACCAGGGATCAAACTCAGGACCTTGCACTTGCGAGGCAGGTGCTGGAACCACTGAGCTAAATCCCCAGCATAGCAGGCTATTTCACACGACACTCAATACATTACAACTTTTTTAAACTTAAATTGGGGAGTTAGGGGGCCGGGGATTTAGCTCAGTGGTTCCAGTGCCTGCCTCGCAAGCGCAAGGTCCCAAGTTCAATCCCCGGTACCAAAAAAAAAAAAAAAAGCTGTACACAACAGTACGGTCAAGTTTACAATAAGCAAAATTTGATAAAATGAGAAGTGAGAAACTAGGTTTGATAGTGAAAATCCAGATACCACCCAAATTGGGGAGTTAGGTTCTAGTTAAGTCCATCTGAGAAGCTGACAACCCAGGGCAGCAGCTATCCTGCTGCCAGCCCAGGGGAATAATCTTAAACATCGCCCCATTCCTGTGCCACCGTGGTATCCGTGAACAAAACAGGGCAGTTCTGTGGCAGTGCTATGCACAGGGACACCCTGGGTCTTTCCAATAAGGTCTACCAGGGCAGGGGGCAGGGGCAGCATGTGTACAAACATGCAGGAGGGGAGGGGCCTGGTCTTCAAAAGGCAAAGTCCTTGGTGCTACCAGGGCAGGAAGGCCGGTGGGCGCTGAGCTTCTACTCTGCTGGTGTTTCAAGCACTGACTTAATTTACTTCCATAGTTTACTACTTTAGCTGGAGGTCTTATTGTCAGGTCTCTGCTTGAACAATCTGGGCAGAAATGCACACTAAAGGAAAAGCCACACTTGGAATCATTCCCGTAGGGCCACAACTCTTTCACTTTGGCTAGAAGTGGGAGGGTGAACTGGGCAGTAAGGATGCCAGTCTCAGTAGTTGTTTCTACCCGTGAGCTGGCTGGGGAGGGACAGCATGAGAGACATTAGCTCCGTAGGCAATGCTACAGTGGACTCTCTCACAGACAGGCTCCTGTGGACGTGTGAACAGCCTTTCAATAAGGGAGGTGTATCATGACCTGCTCCCCTCCTCCTACTCCCTGGGCTTGAGTCACTCATACTGAGTCAGCTACAGCGAATAAGGCTGAGACCAAGAAGTTGACATCATACAGTATCAGGGTGGAAGGCCCACAGGGCTTCCAGTGTGACATGCAGCAGATTTCTCTGTACAAAGCTTACAGTCCTGAAAGACAAAGCTGATCTACTTAGGGTGTCATGTAGGGCAGGCTATGGGGCAGGGACAGTACCCAAACCACTCTGTTCCTTGCATCCCTCACTCTTTGACAAAATATTTATCATTTGGTTACAAATGGGAAGGAAAACTCCCTGAGTAGCGTTCTATGAGGAGGTTGATAACTGCTCTGAAGAAAAGGGATTTGGGAGGAATAGTGAGATGGGAAGAATCAGGGCTAGAGCCCTCCAATATGGAGGTGTGAAAAGATTCCTCAAGAAAAGAAAATGGAAACTTCTGTGAGATTTGGGCAAAGAAGAGCTCTTCAGGAAAACTCCAGGCAGGAAGCGAACTGCGCAGCCCCTGGACCTCTGCCCTATGGCCCTGCCTCACTCTCTGAAGCTCCTCTGCTGTAGTTGGAGCATGGGATGAAACTCAGAACTCAAAGGAAAAGCAGAGAGCAGAAGTGTGTCAGGACCCACCTACAAATTCCCCTTCTAGAATGTACCTGCTCAGGCCTTAGAAAATTCTGTTTTTCACTTGAGTAAGGTGTGCCCCTTACCCTGCTTATGGGCAGGAAACACCTTTTCAAGAGAGTCACAAGCTAACTGGTTCCCTAGATACTAGGGACTTCTAAGAACCTTATCAATTCCTAGAGAAAGAACAGCATTTTGTCCTCCATCCTTTGCTGACTTCAGAACAGGACCTTACACACTGTACAAGATCAGTAACTAGCTGCTGAGTAAATGAATGTTGCATGATGGGGGAGGAGGAAGAACCCATTCTTGTGGTAACTGGTGGGGACAAAGGCCTCGACAGACATATCTATTTTCAAAATGCCAAGGAGAAGGCCGGGGATTGTAGCTCAGTGTTACTGTGCCTGCCTTGCAAGAACAAGGTCCTGAGTTTGATCCCTGGTACCACAAAAAACAAAAAACAAAATGCCAAGGAGGTTGAGAGAACCCTGTGCTGGAGACTTCAGTGCTTAGAAACCCAGTGATACTGACATTTATGTTCTCTCTTTTTTGTTCACATATCCTGAGGAGTCACAGTGGATTCCGGTGTCTCATTCTATCTGCATCAGATAACCCAGGAGGGCCTGGGAATGAGGTATCTCCTTTCTTTCTTGGATCTAGTGACCCCAAATAAGGAGCCAGGCTGGGAAGAATGGCCGCTGGAGAACTCACCCTAGAGAGTTAGGCACTCACAGAATACCTGCCTTTCCAAGGTATCCACTGTCCCGGAGCAGAATACCTGCCAGGAAGAGGGATCCAGAACCAGCTCAGGGCAAGAGAAGTCCTAAGGCCTCTGCTTTTCTACAAAATGGGTATAGAAGAGGGACAAGCCTGACAAGGGGCACGAAGGAATTCACTTTTCGCTGCTCACAATTGAACTATTGCAGATTGGACTCCAAGATGAGGCAACTCTTCATGACCTCAGTTCCACCAGAATTTGGAAGATTCTTCTTGCTCTGCAACAACCTGCCTTCATGGCCTGCGGGCTCTGTTGCCAGGCTCAAGCAGAAATGAAAATAGTCTACTCTGGTGACGAGAACAGCTTAGGCTTTGTGCATGGATGTGGAAGTGTAGATGGTCACAGCATGGGCTGGTCTTCCCCAGAGGCTTCTGACAGCTGGGATCTGGGGAAGCAGACGCTGAGAAACAGCTAAGGCAGCTCAGCAGAATGATTACAGGCAGAGGCTGTGGATTTGGGTTCTTGTTTGACATTCCCCAGTTCTAAGAGACCTTGGGCAAGTAATTTAACCTGTCTAAACCTCAGTTTCCTCATTAGTAAAATAATACGTCTGCTATGCTTGATGTGAGAATTAAATGTGAAGTACCTGGTATGATGAGTGCAACACCAGTGCTCTAGAAACATAAGCACTTTTAGCTTTACCATTATTAAATTACCATAATAAGTAACACATTTCCAGAGAGCAGGATGTCTAGTTTTCTCTTGCTTTTCGCTTCCCAAGCCACTGACCTCCCTCCAGTTGAGAGGGGGCCCATTGTATCGAAACGTGGGTGAATTCTGCCCCACACAGGCAGATGCCAGGACCGTGGCTGTGCACGTTTTTCCAACAGTGCAAATTCCTCATGTTTTTCTCCCTTCTTTTCTAGGCTGGGCTGGCAGCCAGGATGAGAGCCTGGCCAGTGGCAAATCACAGAGGACTGGGGCACCATTGTCTGACTGGGACACCAGGTCGCCGAACTTGGCTATCCACTGTGCAACTTGCTCTGCTATCTGTCCAGACGTGGGGCAGAGGGTGGCTACGTTCTGAGTGCTCATCTCCTCTCTGCTCTGGCCCTACACTGGCTACCCCGAGCTGCTGCTGAGGCTTCCTCTTCTTCCCAGCCTTAGGTCCTTGACTAGGCAGTAGATTTACTCTACCAAAACTGCTTCTCTCTTCCCTTTGTGTCTCTCCCAAATGGTACGGGAAAGACACCAGCAGCAAGGAATTCTTCCCCACAGGGAAAGGCAGGTAGGAGAACACTCTGCAGATGTCTCGGGGACAAGGAATGGCCCTTACCCTAAGCTGACCAAAAGCAGGATTTTGGGGGTGAGGAGGAAGGAGTGTGAGGAGTGGCAAGGAGAATGGAGCTCCTGTTCTACTTAACATCCTTCCTCGAGCCCTGTTCCCTTTCCTAGGGTTGCTGCTCTGAGAGGCTCTGGTAGTGATCCCAGGTCTCCAACCAGAGTGGAGAGGGCCTCAGCCAGTTCTCAGTAAGAAGGTGCTATAGTTCATGGAATGGCACTGCAGCTTAGTAAAAGAACTCTCCACAGGAGTATCAGCCTTGCCATCAGCTATATGACCCAAGGCGAGTCACTTTATCTCCCTGGGTCTCTGAGTTCTTCCCCTATAAAATGAGGCAGTTAGAATACATGAATTCTAAGGTCTTTTTCCAGTCTACCATTCCATGCTTTTATCAGTGAAGTGACACGGAGGGAAGGACATAAAGGACACAATAAGCCTATATAAGGCAGCGTGACTCCATGTAGCCCTCTGCCACCTTGTTCTCTGTCCCTCCCCAAAATTTTACCTCATCCTCATTCTCCACTTTAGGGTTGCTGGCTGTCCGTTTCAGGTTGCTGCTGAGACTTATGCTGGCGGTGGCATCTGACTTCGAGCGCTGGTGAGTCCTTTTGGAAGGAGACAGCCCTGTGTCAGGGGCTGGGTTCAGGGAGGGCAACTCCCTCTTTCGGTGAGCTGGCTTCAGCTCATCTGAGAGGATCAGCTTCCGCAACTTGGTCCCACGGGAGTGTCGCTGAGTGGAAATGTGCATGTCTGAAGAGTAGGCCCCAAGCAACAGGGCACACTGGAGGGAAAAGTTAATGCTCTGGCGGCAGCGGTGGACTATGTAGGGCTTAATGGCATCACCCACATCCTCATCCATGTGGATGTACATGTTAAGCAACTGAGGCAGATAGAAGTCCACATCCTCATTGCGAAAGCAGAACAGCCGGTTGCCGATGTAGGCTTGTACTCCAGGTTCCTTGGAGTTATATAAGTATGAAATGGCCATAGAGATGTCAAATAGTTTCGATTCAAACAGCCTCAGCAGCCAAGATTGTTTGGCTGAGTTGTTCTGGCGCCGCCTTCTTGCTCCTTTGGCTGTGCCCGCGGCCACTGCGGCCCCCATCTCATCTTCCTCCTCCCTGATCTGGGCAGGTGGATCATCCAGGCAACGGATCTCACTGTCCACACTGTCCCCATTGACCAGCTCCAGCTGGGTGCCTCTGCTAGCGATGGCCACACCTCCATGCAGAAGCTTGACTTTCTCCAGCACCTCCTGACAGGCCTTCTGGGCCACCTCTGGGTCGATCACCGACAGTTCCCCAGCCCCCTCCGTGATGACGCTTAGCAAGGAGCCCCCGTTATTCCCTGGTGGGCTAGGAGCAGGCTCAGAAGTTGGCTTCAGGGGGACAGGCTCCACTACCATGTCTCCCATGGCTACAGCCAGACTTTGACCTTTCGAACTGTAGGAGGAAGGAGGGAGAAAGGAACAGAAAAGGAGACACATACACACACTGGTTAGTGGTGCCATCCTCAGGTCTTCCCTTTGCCACGAAATCTTCCCATCCACCTTCTCTTTCTGTCTTCCTGGACTCCTTCAAGTCAGATGAAAAGTCATCTCCCAGGAAGCTTTCCCTCACTGCCTCCACTTCTGATCACTGCATCATTCTGCATTCCTTCTGCACTTAGTGACTCAGGTTAGCCTAGGTTCTTAGCTTATATTTGTGAACTGTTGCTTTATATGTGTTACATTTCTACAGGCTCATAAACTCCTCAGGTAAAGCGGGGAGCAATTTGGATCTTACTCCTTTGTCCTTAATTCTATCCTTCTGTTCTTCCTGTCTCCCTTCAACTGCCTGCCATAGCATTTTCTTTTCCCCTTTAAACTGTTTTCCTTACTCATACCACACTCCACACACAGGTCCCATTTGTCTCACCTTTATTAAAATCTTGATGTATTTTTCGACTTACAGATACTTTCCTACCTTCCCTTTCAGACTCAAAGCTCCTGGGGAATAAGGGCCAGCAAATTTCATGCCAGGCTTCGCTTGGAAGAAAACAGCTCTAAAACAACCACCATCATCAACCCTACTGAAGCCGTGCCATTTCTCTGGCTGTCTGGCTTCGTGACTTCATAACCTTTCTTCAGTGCTGTGGCAGCTGGGGGAGCAGGGAAAGAACCCTAGACTTGGAGGCAAATGGGCTGGGGTTCAAAATCTTCACTTTGCCTTTATGAGATGTGCCAACTTATGCAAGCCACGTTATCTTCTGAGTTTCAGTTTCCTCAACTGCAAATTGGGAAAAAATACTTCTCATTGTTACTGTGCAGAAGAAATCAATGCACATATGTGAAAAGATCTAGCATGGCCCCTGGTACACAGCAGTACTCAATAAGTGCTGGATGAATCCCAACCACCTGAAAGGTTAGTAAACAATGTGTGTGCACACAAGTGCTTGCAAATACATACAGTATTTTACAAGAGAAGCATATTAGAGTTACATTAGTTGCTTGAGACTCTTCTAAAACATTTATGACAGCCCTCTCTTACCTGAAACCTACATTTCCCAGTATCATACTGTCTTGAGACTCATGGGTCTGTAGTTTCTAAAGAACAGGGGAGAAGAGGCATAACTAAGAACTCTCTGGAGGGAAATTCAGCTAAAGAATACTGCTGACAAAAGCCATTTCTGCCAGGCATGGCAGCATACACCTGTAATCCCAGCTACTCAGAAGGCTGAGTCAGAAGAATCGTAAGTTTGACACTAAGCTGGGCTGCTGAGTGAAATCCTATCTCAAAATAAAATACAAATAGGACTGGAGATGTAGCTCAGTGTACAGTACTTGCCTAGCATGTGTGTTTAATTCCCAGTACCCCCTAAATCCTACCCTCTCAATAAAAAAAAAAAAAGTCCTCGTAGGCTAGGGATTTAGCTCAGTGGTGCTGCCACCTGCCTTGCAACTGAAGGGTCACAAGTTCGATCCCCAGTACCAACCCCCCCCCAAAAGAACCCCAAAAAACAAAACTGTCCTCTAAGAGCAGTTCTTCATAGCCTCACCAAATTCAGAACAGGAGAATCAGGGAGGAACAAAAAGAAATTTCAGAGTGATCCAAATCAAGAGAATCAGTGCAAAACAGGAGGAAATTCTGTCAGAATGCCTGGGCTCCAGAATCTGGCATTAGCCAAATGGATTTAACAGGCCTCTTCCCAGAAATGCAAATAGATTGAGTCTAAGACACACTTAGAAGCAAGAGAAAGGTGGAGGCATTTGTAGAGCTGGAATGCAGGTATTTTTCAAGTATTAGTGACAGCACTTTGATACTGTGACCCTGGGTGCCCATACTTTGAGTCATTCTGGGAGGCCTTGTTTTCTACCATCACTCTTCCAGTGCCTCTTCTTGCACCTCTGAAATTTAAGCGTTAAGCTTACTTTTTTTTTTGGTACCAGGGATCGAACTCAAGTCCTTGTGCTTGCACAGCAGGCGGCAAACCACTGAGCTAAATCCCTGGCCCAAGTCTTTTTTTTTTTTGGTACCAGGTATCGAACTCGGGACCTTGCGCTTGCGAGGCAGGCAGCAGAACCACTGAGCTAAATCCCCAGCCCCCATTAAGCTTACTTTCATCTGTCCAATATCATATAGTCCAGCTCCCTGCTTCTCAGCAGCTACCACTAAAGTTTTGCAAAAAGATAGACGGGAACTCCTGTTCTGAGATCAAGAGAAAAAACAGCTACTTTAGTTCATTTTTCTCAAAGTCTGTCAAGCAAGAAGTTCACTCCTGAATTTAATTTCTTTTTTTTTTTTTGGTACCAGGGATCGAACTCAGGACCTTGCGCTTGCGAGGCAGGTGCTGGAACCACTGAGCTAAATCCCCGGCCCAAATTTCTTTTTTTTTTGGTACCAGGGATCAAACTCAGGTCCTTGCACTTGCGCAGCAGGCAGCGAAACCACTGAGCTAAATCCCCGGCCCAAAGGAAGGAAATTCTTTTTTTTTTTTTTGGTATTGGGGATTGAACTCAGGACCTTGAGCTTTCGAGGCAGGCAGCGGAACCACTGAGCTAAATCCCCCTGAATTTAATTTCTTGATGCAGTTTGAGCTTGGTATGGGTAAAAAGGCGACAACTCTTTCACTGTTCTCTCCTAAAGCGAGGCAGTGCCCGCTGAGCAGTAGAACCAGCATGGTTGCCTATGTGGATCTGTCTCTACTCGCAGCTATGTGTTGCACAGGAATAATAAGGAAGCTTTAATCATTCCTTGCCACACCTTTTAGGGCCTCTTACCAGAGAGTCAGGTTAATTCACTGCTTAGAGATTCACAAGGTAGCCTCAGTCATCCTATATAATCAACTCTTCTTCTCAACATCTCCATGCATGGCACATCCTTTCCTTTTTATCTACTCAAGAGACTTCCAAGTCACCAAAGGCCCCTAAAAGTCCAGTTTAAAAAATATTAAAGAGGGTTCAGCTTAGTGGCAGAACACTTGCCTAACATGTATAAGACCCTGAATTCCCAAACAAACAAACAAACCCCAAACAACCCAAACCAACAAACCAAACACCCCAAACTTGCAATGGAAGTGAGGTTCAGACATTCTCCCACATACAGTGTCTCAGACCTCACTAAGACATTCCACAGGGCCAGGGATGTAGCTCAGTGGCGCCCAGCCTGCTTGGCAAGCACAAGGTCCTGAGATCAATTCCTAATCACAACTGGGATTTTATGGGCACTAGAAAGGAGATAAGAATATAATACCATTATTTCTCTTATCCCCCAAGCAAAGAAGAAAAACTCCAGGACTCAGACAGGAACCCCACATTACAATATTCAAAGGACTTCCTTGGAGAACAGACTCTCCCATCAGCACCTTTTCCTCCCCAGGGAACCAGACAATATGCAGAGGTGCAAGAAGCTGGGTGTGGTGGCACACAGCTGTGATCCCAGCACTCTGGGAGGCAGGACTGCAAGTCTGGGCAACCTAGTGATTTAGCAAGACCTTGACTCAAAACAGAATTATAGAAAAGAGTGAGGGAGGTAGCTCACTACGAAGGCTCTGGGTTCAATCTCCAGTAAGGGGGTAGGTGAGCCAGGCATGGTGGCATACACCTGTAATCCAGCACTTGGTAGCCTGAGGCAGGAAAATCACAAAGTCAAATTCTACCTATGCAATTTAGTAAGACTGTCTCAAAAAATAAAATGGTCTGGGGTAGTAGCTCAGTGTATAGGCCCAGGTTTCAATCTCTAGTGGTGGTGGTGGTGGTGGGATACAATCAAGGTGTGGCAGTGCATGCCTGTAATCCCAGGACTCTGGGAAGCTGAGGCAGAATGATCTCAAATTCAAGCCCAGCCTCGGCAATTTAGTGACTTAGCAAGATTATGCTTTAAAAAAAAAAGTCTAGGAGTATAGCTTAGCACAAAGACCCTGGGTTCAATTCCTAATTACAAAGAAAAAAAGAGGGCCAGGGATTTAGCTCAGTGGTTCCACCACCTGCTTCGTAAGCACAAGGACCCAAGTTTGATCCCTGGTACCAAAAAAAAAAAAGAAAAAAAGAGGTTCAGGAATACCGGATTCCTCTCCTATGTAAAGCAACTCTAACAAACAAACAAAACCACTAAACTAGAGCTGGGCTTCTCTATTGGCTCGAAGGATATTCAAGGACTGTTTGTCTCTGAAGCAAGTCACGGGAAGAAGGAATGTGGGAGGAATTAGGTTATTATGATAATAGAAATAGGAAACAGAAATAGGAAAAAGATTCTCCAAAATCTAAACCCAGATATGGTCCTCAAAATCAATTTATTCATTTCCAAATGCAAAGAAAGCATACCTTTAATGTCTAACTATTCTAAAGAAAGCATCGGGGGTTATTGCAGGGCAGGGCAGGGCAGAGGCTTCAGAGGACAGAGAGGGTGTACACTCGTGTTCTGTGGGACTGAGCAGTTAAATATATGTCTGCAGAGCATTCTGGAGGGAGAGGATGCTCCTGCTTAACTTTGCTTCCTGCTCCTCATCACCCGAAAAGAGTCTAGATAAACAACCTCCCACTGGCTTCCATTAAAGGATGTACTGGGCTGGTCTCTGCCAGGGCAGGATGGTAAAGTGCCCCAAATCAATTCCCTAACCGTTAGTCACCATTCCTCTCTTTAAATCTGTTTCCATGGACTAGATAAATATGGATTGCCTCATCCCAATTCTGATGTTTTTATACATCCCTGCATTTTCACAGAATGGCCTTTAAGTGATCATCTGAGTTGGGCCTGTTGGTGCACACCCATAATCCCAGCTTCTGGAGGCTGAGGTAGAAGAATCACAAGTTCAAGGCCAGCCTGGGTAACTTAGTTAAAAAAACAAAAACAAATAAACAACAACAAAAGGGAATTAGGGATGTAGCTCAGTGCTCCATAGATTCAATTCTTAGACACACAGACACACACAGACACACACAGACACACACACACACACACACACACACACACACACACACCCCTTAGTGCTCTGCTTCCAAATCAAGCAGACAAGCTCAACAGCTTTCTTCTTCCTTTTAAAGGCTCCTTCCCCCCACCTCCCATCCCATATTGGGGTAGTCTACCACAGTAACATCCCTAACCTTTTGTTTTGGTTTTTTGAGACAAGGTCTCACCAAGTGGTTCAGGCTGGCCTTGAACTCACTATGTATTCCAGGCTGGCCTCAAACTGATGGCAGTCCTCCTACCTCAGCCTTCCAGAGTGCTGGGATTATGAGTGTGCACCACCATGCCTGGCTTCCCTAACCCTTTTTAAAAAATTTACCGCCCCCCCCACCAATTAACTAAAATTTTATTTCTTCTTATTGTATTTTATTTTGTTGGTTTGCTTTGTTTTTGGTACCGGGGATCAAACTCGGGTCCTTGTGCTTGTGAGGCAGGCATCGAAACCACTGAGCTAAATCCCAAGCCCTGGTTTGCTTTTTTGAGACCATCTCAGGCTAGCCTCAAAAGTTCAATTCTCCTGGGCCGGGAATTTAGCTCAGTAGTGGCGAGCCTGCCTCACAAGCTGAAGGTCCTGAGTTTGATTCCTGGTACAAAAAAAAAGTTCAATTCTCCTGTCTCAGTCTCACAAGTAGCTGGGATTTCAGGCATCTGTCACCAAGCCCAGTTTAAAGGATCCTTTGAGGTAAATCATGAGAGGTGGAAAAAAAGGATAGCAGAGCCAGTATCTTCATCCTACCAAATGGGAAGTTGTAAACTTAATGGAAAAGGGTCAAAAGTACTACAGTTACACAAGTGTCAAGCAAAAGAAATAAAACTGACAATTACATAAACAAGAGGTATAAACCCTCTTTTGCAACAATTAATGAGTCAAGATATAGAGGTATGGTGATAAGCTTCAGAATTAGAACACCAAGAAAATTACAGAGGTTAACGCTGTGGGAGCAGGAGTAGGGATGAAGGGAAAGAGATGACAATATAGGTTTTCATCAGGAACTTTTACAGTAACATTGGATTTGTTACTAATGTGCATTCCTTTAACAATAAGCCCCCACCCCCGCCCCAATAGGGTATTCTTCAAAAGTGACTCTATACTGCTCTCCCTGCCTGTTGAGTTCTTTGCTGCCTGTTGAGTTCTTCGACATGCCTTAAGGTCTAAATCATTCTTTTATTATTGTTGTTGTTGTTGTTGAGACAGGGTCTTACTATGCAGTTCAGGCTGACCTTGAACTCACTGTGGAGCCCAGGCTGGCCTCGAACTCACAGCAATCCTCCTGCCTCTGCCTCCCAAGTGCTGGGATTACAGGTGTGTGCCACCTCACCTGGCTAAATCATTCTTGAAGAAGGTCTCAAGTCATCTTTCCCCTCTGACCTCAACAGTAAAGGCAGAGAATACATTTTCCTTGTAGAAACTCAGGGGTGAGCAGTCCGACTGGCTCAAGCCCCACCAGCAACTAGGTGAATGCTAACTTAGGGCCCCGGAGGTGGTGGCATCAGGGGAAAGGGGATTCCCAAGCTACACTGGTGTGTGTGTGTGTAGGGTAGTGGTGTCCAATTAGTTAAATCAATATTGAATCTGGCTGCGAACGCTTTATGCAGGCCATGGAGCTGGTATAAGCAGATTCCAGCCAGCCAGACAGCCCAAGCCAGCTCTCAGGGCCCCTGATGGAACAGAGAGATGGCAAAGAAAGCAACCTGTATGCTCACCCTTCTTGAACTGTTCCTTCCTGTTGCACATGAAGCCTAAATGCACTTGGACTAGGCTCTCTCTTTAAAGAATCTTCCCAAAACAAAAAAAAATTTCCATTTGTTCTTTAGGATGGTGTTTAGCAAACATGTTTTCATGCAGTGTGGACCCAGCTGAGGGAAGCAGGGAAATGAGGGGAAATATGATTTCTGGTTGAGGGTGCTTCCAAGGAGTGAATCTTCTCCTATAAAGGGGATTATGAACAGGCTGCACTCTAGTTAAGTCTGAGGGAGAAAAGGAGAAGGGTGTGAAACAGCATAACTGCTTCCAAAGAGGTCTAAGTCAGAAGATGAATGGAACTTCACGGGCCCACTTCACTATCACAGGGCAAAAGAGAGGCAGGGCATACAAGTGTGCAACTCATTTCCCAAGTCCCAGCTCACTCCAAGTTCTCTTTTCCAGCCAGTTTCCTCAAAGGGCTTTTCCACACTTTCTGCCCATGGTCTGCAGTTGTGACTCCAGTATGGAAGGAACAGCACAGGTGCTCAGCAACTTAGGGCACTAGGGCAGTGATGGTGAACCTTTCAGAGCTTTCAGTGAAAACAGCCAGCTGCAGCATGCAGGCCATAGGTTCCCCACCACTGTGCTAGGGGAAAAGCAGAGATGAAAGAAGCAGGCCAGAAGTGTGTGTTTCAAACTGACTTACACTCATGGTTATAGACTAGGAAGACCTCAGAATGAAGGTCCTTAGTCTGAAGACTTTAGAATCAAGGAAAATTCTCAGGATGACAAAACCACTACTTATAAATGTCTTTTGACTGAGAACCCCAAATATTTTATAAACCAATAAAACACATTTAATTCTTCCCTCAACCCATATGTTGCTATTAGCCTATTACTGCACTGATGCCCATAGAGTGGATCATTCTCCCAAAAAGACCACTCTAGAGGTCAAGTGAGGAAGTCACATGCTGAATCCAGGAGTCTTGATTCTACGAGATCTTTCCATTGTCTCATGTTCCTTTTCCCAGTTACCCCCCAACCCCACTGCGGCCTGAGGTCTTATGAAATCGACCAAAACTATTCTAGTAACCCACAGTCAGTAACCCGATTCCCCTTGGATCTGGACATGGGTGGAAGACACTCTATTCTGTGATCTATTAAACACAAGTCTCAAAATAAATAATCCAAAACAAAATGTCTCACAATCTCATTCAGTTTCCTTGCAGTCCTGTTCATCCCGCCTAGTGGCTGCTTCTGAGTAGTCAACAAAATGTAATCTGATAGGGATTCTTCAAAACTTGCTCCATCCTTTAGAAACACCCTTCTGTCCAGAAAAGCCTGAGACAGCTGAGGCTCCCCCTCCTCCCAACATTTTCTTCTTAGTTCAAGGTTTAGCTGATCCTGAAATAAGTGGTATGTGGAGACAGAGTGTGACAGAGAACACAAAAGAGACCACAGGGAAAACAGAACTAAGTGACACAAGGATCAGCAAAATCTTTGAAACAAGAGGGAGGTGTCAAAGTAGGAAACCCGAAATGGGAGGGGGTATTGTCAGATCTCTCCTCTACACGAAAAAACCTCCAGAGGTCTGGGAGATTTCAAAGAGGGAAAGGAAAGCCAAAGGACAGCTGGAGGAATCATAAAGCACCCGAGAAGAAAGATAAGGACTAAAGTCTAAATGAGATGTAAATGGTACCTTGGGATTGATGACAAGGGCCTGGGATCCCTTAAGGAAAGGGGAATAGGTAATTCTTGCAAGCTAGGAGCTGGGTGGGTGGGTGACGGTGAGGTAATGGAATCAGAAGCAACAGAGGAAGGGAGGGATCTTTAGCTCAGGAAAATGAGAACTCTGAGCCGAGGTTGCAGACCTCGGAGGAGTGGGGCAAAATAGGAAAAGGGATGAAGGCGGAGTCCATAGGAAAGGTCTGGGGCAGAAGCACAGTCGACGAGGAAGGACAAACAAGGATGGACACTGTGGAAGGGATCTAATGGGGAAAGTGTTCATGTCTTTAAAAAATAATAGTTCGGGACGGAGGCAACAAGGGTTAGAAGGGGCGGGGGGAAATCCCCGGGGCAGAGGGAGGAGCTAAACAGAAGAGGAAGCCAAAAAGCAGAGGAAGACCCCAAGCTTGAGAGCAGAGGGTGGAGAAGGACCCCGGGGTGCAGGTACCCACCGGGAGGGCAGTTTTGTATCGAACCCAGGCGGGGAAGACTGTGAGAGACAGGAGGGAGAGAGAGCCCCCTAACTGCGCAAAGGTGACTCATGGAGAGAGTCGCTTACCTCCGGGGGGCTCCCGCGGAGGGGGTGCAGGCGGTCGGGGTCGGGCAACCGACACCGCCGCCTCAACAGCCGCGGCCGCTCCCGGGTTCTATTGGCCGCCTGCGTTTCCCTGACAGCGGCCGCGGCGGCTGCACCAGGCCCCGGCTACGGGGCTGCCCGCCGCACTGCCTGAGGGGCCTTCACGCTGCCTCAAGTTGGACCCGGCTGCGCAACCAGGACCAAAATTTTTTTAAAAGTGCCCAGCAGGTTCAAATGTAAACTTCTTCTGAATCCACGCCCGTCTTCCCGGGATTTTTTTTTTCCTGTTTTTCCGACGCTTAGGACCCTACCGACCTCGGAGTAATCTAATGAGTCGGTTGAGCTGCCCAGAACGTGCCTGTTCAGAAATAGAAAAGGGGGCGGGGGTGAGCTATTTGGAAGCTAGAGTGGGAGGAGCGGGCGAAAGGAGGAGCCTAGTGGTGGGAGGCGGGGCCAATACTTGAGAGGCGGGCCTAAGAGGTAGTAGTGTTTGCTAGAGTAAGGAAGCCGAGAGGGAAGTAAAATTTGCTGGATAAGTGGCAGGGTGCTGCGTACGTCCAGGAGAATATTAACATGCAAATTATATGTAAATAAACCGATGGAGTTCGCAACTGAGTTACCGTTAATTGCAATCAGTGGCTTTTCCCCCTCCCTTATCCGGCACGACTCCTCCAGTAAATCAGATCGTGGGACAGATATTTGGGAGGGGGCAGAGAGGAAAGAAGAGAGAGAGAAGGGATCGGTGAGGACAGTTACCCTTACTACCCCTTTCCTACTCATCTTTAAAGACTTTGTCAAGATTTTGCTTCTTATCGCGTCGGGAATGGCACGGTCCAACTGCGGCCATCTTCTGCCTTTGTGGGCCCGACTGGAGGCGGCGGTTCTGCCTCCGAGGTCATTCTCTGCTTGGGCAGCCTTTGGCCTCCAGCATCCAGACGCCGAGCCCTCCAGGACAGGCTGGACAGAGCCAGATTGGGAGGTGAGTGAAATGACCAAGGCTTAAAGAACATAATCCCTTCTAAACAAAACCATGTAAGATTAAACAAATAGGCTGGGGATTTAGCTCAGTGGTTCTGCCTCCTGCCTCTCAAGCGCAAGGACCCGAGTTCGATCCCCGGTACCTGCCCTCAAAAGATTAAACAAATAGACAAAAACAGTTCTACAGTCGTCCTCAGGTATTGTATACCTATTTGTCGGTTAGCATAGTTGATTAAGAGCCCTCTTCCTCCGCAGAATCTCTGTCCCCAATGCCTTTCCTGGGCTTTCTTTCATATCCAGCGCCCTTCACAGGGTCTTAATATTCTACCTTGAAGCTAGTTATTTGAGCCCAGATGTTGTATACCATCTTCCTTGCCACTTACAAACTGTTTGAATTGGGATGACTGATGTAACCCCTCCCTCTGCCACGTTGTTCTCCTTGAGTCCCCTTTCCCTTTGTCTCACTGTATTGCACAGGCTGTTGTCAAACTCTTGGGCTCAAGGGATCCTCCTGCCTCAGCCTCCAGAGCAGCTGGGACTACAGCCGTACAACATTCCCCCTGGAGTGAACCTCAGTTTCTGTCTGCAGTGTGGATGCAATAATATAACATCTTACAGGCTTTTGTGAGGACCAAGAGTATAGATTACTACTATAATACTATTATTATTGGGACAATAATACAGGGTACATAATAAAAGAGGGCTACTGCTTCAGTGTTTAATTGGAAGGCGGAATAAAGAGTAATAGCTTGAAAATACCTCTGTAAAACATGTAGATGTGTAGAACAAATGAGGTACTTTTTTTGTGCTACTGGGGATTGAACCCAGGGCCTTCACACTGAGCAACATCCCCAGCCTTTTTTTCTTTTCTTTTTAGACAGGTCTTGCTTTGTAACCCAGGCTGACCTCAAACTCATGGAGATCCTCCTGTGTCAGCTGGGATTACAGGTGTGTGTCACTGTGCCTGGCACAAATAGGGTACCTAATTGCTGAGGGAACATGGTAGAGTTTGGTTAAATTGAGTAGAAAGCATAGCCCCTCAGTATATGGTGAATAGATGAATGGAAGTCTGCTTAGAAATATTGTGAGCCAGGTCTTAGAAGAGATACTGAGTATTATTCAGCAGAATAAAAAAGAGGAGAGAGTATAGAGCATCCTGAAGGCCAAACATTTATATGTTGAAGAATAGAAATTGGAATGTGCTTCAATCACGAGGACAGGGCAGATAAACTAGGCTAAAACAGGAGTATAGTAATGAAAGATGAGCACAGGTCTGGGTGGGGAATCACCAGTCCACTTGTCAGAACCAGCAACACTCGGTCAGCTTCCAGCCAGCTGTCATGCAAGAATCAAGAGGTGACAGCCCTCACTATGGAAGTCAGTGTGGGGATTCCTCAAAAAACTAAAAATAGAAATTCCATTTGACCCAGCTATACCTCTTCTGGATATCTTCCTGAAAGAGTTAAAGTCATCATATTACAGTGATACACACACACATAACTCATAATCTTGGAAGTATGCCCATCAACAGATTAATGGATAAAGAAAATGTGACATTTATATTATATGTCATAAAAAAGAACAAATTTTGAGTCATTTGTGAGAAAATGGATGTAACTTGAGTCCATAATGCTAAGTGAAATAAATCAGACACAGAAGGTTAAATATCACATGGTTTCTCTTATATGAGAAATCTAAAGTAGAAATCATTTAAAGAGCAAAATAAAAGAAAGATGATAGAAAACAGGGAGATAGATTTTGTGGAGATTGGAAGGGGATCTTGGGATGGGGGGATACTGGCGGGAAGGGAGGGGAAAGGGAATAAAAAAGAGGTGATGACCCTGCTTTAGCCTAAAGTTTAAAATATCACACAATAGCCAGGCGTGGTGGTGCATGCCTGTAATCCCAGCATTTGTGAGGCTGAGGCAGGAGTGCCATGAGGTCGAGGCCAGCCTGGGCTACATGGTAAGTTCAAGGCCAGACTGAATTACAGGGTGAGACCTTGTCTCAATAACAAATACAAACAAAAAAATCACACATTTGACCCACAAGACTAGTCTTTTATAGAAAGAGATATAATGGTTCGTTTTTTTCTCTCTTTTATAAGAAAGAAGCTTTTTAAATTTTCAAATGGAGAAAAACAAGGTTTCAGAAATATCTCTGATCAGTCTTGAAGTGGAAACTCTTTATAGCTAGAGTCAGTTTTTTGGCTTTTTTTTGTTTTTGGTACTGGGGATCGAATTCAGGACCTTGTGCTTGCAAGGCAGAAGCAGTGCCACTGAGGTACAGTCAGTTTTGAGCCTTTTTCTTTTTCTTAGCCACTTCGTGGCCTTTGCACTGAGCTACATCCTCAGCCCTTTTTAAATTTTGAGACAGGTCTTGGTAAATTGCTAAATTGCCCAGGCTGAGCTCAAACTTGTGATCCTACAGCTTCAGCCTTCCAGAGTGCTGGGATTACCGGTATGTACTACCACACCCAGCTTCTGAACCTTTTTTTTGGTACTGGGGATTGAATTTGGGACCTTGCACTTTCGAGGCAGGTGGTGGCACCACTGAGCTAAATCCCAGGCCCTTCTGAACCTATTTTTTTTTGGTACCAGGGATTGAACTCCAGTCCTTGCGCTTGTTGAACTTATTTTTAAAAGCTCTCTTTTAATAGAAAAATATCACTCACTTCTGAGATCCCAGGGAGGCAATGCAGGCATAGAAGGTGGCACATGGAGACAGGTGACCCTGTGGGAACCTGAACTATTCTTTGTGCATGTGAAACCCTTCCTTGGCCGGGCGTGGTTGTGCACACCTGTGATCCCAGCACTCAGGAGGCTGAGGCAGGAGGATCTCCATGAGTTCAAGGCCAGCCTGGGCTACATCATGAGTTCAAGACCAGCCTGAACTATATAGTGAGACCCTGTCTCAAAAAACAAAAAACAGGGCTGGGGATTTAGCTCAGTGGTTTCGCCACCTGCTATGCGCAAGGACCAGAGTTTGCAAGGACCAGAGTTCGATCCCCAGTACATAACAACAACAACAAAAACAAACTAACAAAAGAACCCTTTCCTTGGTGGGGAAGGATGTACTGTGTGGCACAATGGAAAGCACCAATAGGTAAGAAAATGTTATTTATCTGTCTTAACTTTTATCAAATAGGGGAAAGAAGTGAGTCTATCATTAAAAAGTTAGTAGAACCAGAGGACTCATAATACATCTCTTAAAACACCTTTGTGGTTAAATACATTTTTATAAAGAGTAAATTTTTTTCTTGAATCATAGATATGGGCTTTTTTCCCCAGAAAAATTAAAAAATAGCTAGCAGTTTAAATACAAACATTTCCTCATTTATTCCTCACTATTGCCCCATGAAAGAGATTTTTGGGGGGGGCAGGTACTGGGGATCGAACTGAGGACCTTGCGCTTGTAGGTAGGCAGCAGCACCACTGAGCTAAATCTCCAGCCCCTCATGAAAGAGATTTTAACTCAGTTCATGGGAACTGAGCTTTAGAAAGTTTAAGTCACTGCTTTTCAAAGTGTTTTACTTCAATTTACAGTAAGAATTGTACTTTTTTAGGACCGGGAATGTAGCTCAGTGGTACTGCACCTGCCTCGCAAGCGCAAGGTCCTGAGTTCGATCTCCAGTACCAAAAAAACCAAATGTAGTTTATAATTGGTCACTGACGAACATGTAAACATAACTTAAAGTTTCATGAAATATGTACTAATGTACTTTGATATTTTTGATTCTATTTCACTTTTTAAAAATGGTGTTTTACATTGTTAAACTGACTTTACAACCCGCTAATAGGATGCAGTCTACAATTTGGAAACTTGAAAAAATTTAGCTAAATACTCATAAATGTTCAAAATTATATGGTAAGTGATGGAGCTAAGATTTAAACCTAATTTGTGCTCTTTCCAGTAAACAAATCTCTGAGTTTTTGTTTTTTTTTTCCTTTGGTACTGGGGATTGAACTCGGTTTTTGTTTTTGTGGTGCTGGGGATTTAACTCGCACCTTGCTCATGTTGGGAAAGTGTTCTCTACGAGCATTTTTAGAGAAATACTGTGAGATTATCTGTCCATCTTGCTACATAAAATGCTAATTAGCTTTATCTCACAGATGGAATTGGCAGGAAGTTTTCAGATGAATTAGGTCTGCCAAGGATCCATAGCATGAGAAAAACCAGACAAACATGACATTAATTCTCCCATTGTGAAGGCAACATTTGTTTTTGTTGTTGTTGTTTTTTGGTATTGGGGATCGAACCCAGGACCTCATGCTTGCCAGGCAGGCTCTGTGGCACTGAGTTACATCCCCAGCTAGCATTTGTTTTAAATTTTAAAGAAAACTGATTATTAAGTCACAAAAATAAAAAATAGATTCATTTCCTGGGGGCCACAGACTGGACATGTAGAATTTATCTTTAATAGCAAAAGATTATTTTAGTAAATTTATGTAAGGCTAAAATGAGAAAAGGCACTGGGGATAAGGCATTGGGAGTAGGGAACAGGAAACTGTTGTCAACAGGGAAGAGTTAGGACAGCAGAGGAAGCAGTAGTTGCTCCCCTAAAATCTTAGTTTGGTCCTTCATCTAATAAACTGAAAAGCCCTTGAACTATAGGGGAAGTATTTGTTTTATATTAGGGTTTAAAAACAGAGTCACAGCTGGGCATGGTGCTGTACACCTGTAGTCCCAGTGCTCAGGAGGCTGAGGCAGGAGGATCCCTGCCAGTTCAAGGCCAGCCTGCACTACATAAACAAAAACATACAAAGAAAAAGGAAAACAGGGTGGATAAGGCTACTTTAAAACCCACAACACTCAAGAAAATCTCAAAATCATTCACTAGTCTGGCATCCCAGAGTAAATGGAGATATCTCCAACCAGTCTCGTGAGGACAGTACTTCCTGGGATGCTCTACCCTATTTCCAGTGCTTTATTTTCCCATCTGCCTATTACTTCTAATCTGTCCGCATTCTGGCCCAGTCCTTCATGGACAATGGGACGGCTGCTGGGCTAGATCTTTAGACTCCAGTTCTATATCCTCTTTAAGGCAGATGCTGTATCTTTAATCCATTCATTTTTTACTTGAGACATGGTCCTGCTATGTAGCTCAGGCTGGCTCGAACTCTAGATCCTCCTGTTTTAGCCTCCTGAGTGCTAGGATTACAGTTGTGCACCACTACACGTGGCTTATGCATCCATTCTTTCAATCAACAGTTAATGGTTGGTGGTTTTCTTCTAGTTTCTTACTGTTCATACCCATCTCTTCTGGCTGACCTGCCTTTACCAGGCTGCACTGCCACGGCCACACATCCGTGCTTTTCCTGGAGTGTCCTCTTTTTTTTACCTCACTTTAAAGATTTATCTCAATCCTGTCTTTTCCACAAAGCCTTCGTAAATTAGCCCAAACCGCTATCCCTGAATTTAGATCTTAAGCATAGAGCCTAGTGACGTAGCTCTTTTTACCACATGCCTTGTGTTGTTTTGACCTTGCTGTAGGGTTGGACTTGTCTGGCTGGCTGTGACACCTCTCTCCTGGGAAGCTGTCTTTGATCCCTGTCCTGCCACTGTGCCACCCCCCTGGGCTCCATGGTGCTGGGGCATGGCTCCCAAGGCTCACGTGTGCCACCACTGCTCACTGTCTGTCTGCCCAACCAGAATGCGTGAGGGCAGAGTCTAAGGAACTCTGCTTCTAACAGGTGCCTAGCATTTAAGAAAAGGAAAATATCAAAACCACATTAATGAATTCCTACTTCTGACATTTTAGGAGAAAAAAACCCACAACTTTAAGCAGAAACTGGGATATACAGAATGAGCAGCACGTGGTGAAAGAAGCAGGTTTGCCCTGGGGACCAATGGCGAAGCTAGGGCTGTGTCCAGCCACAGAAGGGGTGAAGAGCCTGAGATTCCTCAATTAAACCTGGACTCTATTTTTTGCTTTTTCTGAACCCAGGGCCTTGCACTACATACTAGGTGAACATGCTACCACTGAGCTACAAGTTCACTAACCCTGGAGTTTGTGTGTGGGGGGGGTACTGGGGATTGAACGCAGGACCTGTGCAGTAAGCTACATCCCCAGCCTTGCCGTATTTTTTATTTTGAGAATCTCACTAAGTCCCAGCTGGGCTTTAACTTCCACTGTTCCCGAATGCTGGGGTTATGGGTGTCACCACCACACCCAGGTTAAACCCAGACCCTGAAGGGGCTGATGCAGTCCCAGGTCAGGACCCTTGGCTCCTGGCAGGAGCAAATGCAGATCTTCCCTAGAGGAAAGGAGCCCAGTTTAGCCCCTCGAGATCCCTGTAGATTAAGTTTAACAAAATATGAGTTCAAAACCCGAAAATAAAAAAATTTACAAGGAAACAAGCTACCATTGGCAAGAGTCAGCACAAAACAAGACAGATTTATACTTAAAGTAACCCCAATGCATTTAAAAGAATTGGTATCAGGGACACCATATTCTCTAAACACAAATGGTTAAAATGATAAAAACTTTAAATTTCTAGACATTTGGAAAGTTATAGGGCCAGGCCTGGTGGCACATCCCTGTAATCCTAGACTGGAGGCTGAGGTAGGAGGGTCACCACAAGTTCAAGGCCAGCCTGGTCTACATATTAAGACCCTGTCTCACCCCACCCCCCAAAAAAACCTTTTCTAAATAATTCAAGAGCAGCTGGGCATAGTGGTACATGCCTGTAATCCCAGCAGTCAGGAGGCTAAGGCAGGAGGATCACTGTGAGTTCAAGGCCAGCCTGGGCTACATAGTGAGACTCTGTCTCAAAAAACCAAAAACCAATGAACAAAAAACTCATGAAGGGTTATGGGGGTGTGTGGCTCAGTGGTAGAGTGTGAGGCCCTAGGTTTGATGCCCAATATCAAATACAGAAAAAAAGTTTTGATAAGTCAAAAAAGTCTCAAAGGGAGCCAGCCATGGTGGTGCATCCCTGTAATCTCAGCACTCTGGGAGGCTGAAGCAGGAGGATCACAAGATCAAGCCCAGCCTGTGCAACTTAGTGAGCTCTTGTTTCAAATTTTAAAAGGGTTGTGAATGTAGCTCAGTGCAAAGGCCCTGGGTTCAATCCCCAGTACTGTAATAACAAAAAAGTCTCAAAGATAATTTAAATATTTTTTAGAGCTAAATAATGAAAATACTGTATAACCCAGAAAAATCTGTGGAGTGTAGAAGTGTGGAGTGGAGGTCCACATATGTAATGCCAGCACCCTGGGAGGCTGAGGCTGGTGAACAGCAAGTTTAAACCCAGCCTGGGGAATTTAGCAAGTTAGCAAGACTGTGTCTGAAAATACAAAGGCTGTAGCTCAGTATGAAGGTTTTGGATTCAACCCCTAGTACTGAGAAGAAAGAGGAAACAGGGAAAGAAGGAAGAACAAAGAAAGCCCAAATAGAAGTTATAAAGAAACTAAACCAGTAGTTAAAATGATTCCCACAAAGAAGTATCAGGCTCAGATGGTTTTACAAGTAAGTTTTACCAGATATTCAAGGAACAATTCATTTCATTCTGATGTGAACTCTTCCGGAGAATAAGACAAGCAGAAACAGTTCCCAACCCAGAGTGTACAGACTAAAAGGACCATCTTAGAAACTTCCCTAGAAATCTTACTAAAAACAAAGGCAGTAACATGTACAAGAATGTTCATAGCAGCATTGTTTGTAATAGCGAGAAGCTGGAAACAGCCCAAATATCCACTGACAGGTGAATGGCCAAATAACTTGTTTTATGCACTTGACAGAATACTATACACATGAAAACAGATGAATCACAGCTAGCGCAACAGCATGGATGACTCTTACAAACAATGCTAAGTGCAAAAAAGCAAACCTCAAGGGACTAGTAAAGTCTAAAGCTTTTGTAAAGCCAGAAACCAAACAATACATTTAAAAAGAATATATACATGATTAAAATACACACACACACACACATATAAAACAAATCATTAATAAAGTTAAGGACAGTGGTTACCTCTCAGAAGCAGCAAGGGGACAGGACAGGGAGGAACACAAACTCAATGGTATTTCTATTTTTTTGGTACTGGGGATCAAACTCAGGACTTTGCGCTTGCAAGCCAGGTATGGGCAGCACTGAGCTACATCCCTAGCCCTGGTATTTTTTTTTTTTTTTTTGTACCGGAGACCAAACTCGGGACCTTGAGCTTTCAAGGCAAGCACCCGAACCACTGAGCTAAATCCCTGGCCCCTGGCCCTGGTATTTCTAATTTTAATGTATAGATTTGAGTGGTGGACACAGGTGCTTATTATCTTTCATAATTTATTCAGGCTGTATATGTATTTTTTGGTACCAGGGATCGAACTCGGGACCTTGTGTTTGCGAGGCAGGCAGTGGCACTGCTGAGCTAAATCCCCGGCCCTATGTTATACAGTCTTTCTAGATATAAACTATGACGTTATAATTTTAAAAAAAATCTGTGGTGGTGGAAATAAATGGACAAATGAATGACATCTCCCTGAAGGAAAGGTCTATTTCTTGGGAAGAGCCAAGATTCCCTGACATGAGCTACCCTAAGTAGAGGACAAAGTCCTCACTAAATTCGAGTTTATTTACTGCTTTTCCCAAGGACAAACCTGGAAGGTCTGAATCCCCTTCCTTAGGTGCTCCCCAACTCCGAACTACCTCCTTCCACACATCTGGCCTAAACCGCAGTCCTGGCCGAGTCCCGACACACACGTGACAAGAGACTGACATCTAGTAGATACAGAATGAATTTAATGAAATGACTAGGAAGGAAGTTTTTCACTGTAGATGGTGAAAGTGGCAGTAGATTGGGGGATAGGGAAGCAGGAGTGAAAAGAAAGAGAAAATTCGGAACAGAAGGGAGGAGCTCCATGTCTGAGATGTAGGTGGAAAAAAGGCTTATCATCTAAGCTAACTGAAAGTCCCTGAAAAGAAAATGACTTCCCTCTCCTTCCCAGAGACTAGAACAGGAGGAAAGAGCTTACAGCCGCAGTAAGGGAAATGCGAGATTGAGGAGAAAAGAAGGTTGAGCTGTCCTCAGCCAAGCTACCTAGAACCACATGTACTTCATAGCTATAGCTGGGGGTCAGCTCCTCCCAGCAGATCCCGGGCCCCGGTCTCCACCTGGGGAATCTGCTTGTGAGGAGTCCGATGCCCCTCTTCTCCCCAAAAGGGTGGTCCATGATGCAGAATAAGCACATTAGCATCCTAGCTTCCTGGCCACACTGGTGGGTCAGGGGCAGGCAAGGCTCAGGATGGACTAATCACAGCGAATTTTCAGACTTTTGCTAAGATTCCTGGTTATACATAACTGGGCAAACATAATCCAGGAGTGCTGGCAGCTATGAGGTGGCCCAGGCTTAAGATGATTTTACATTAGGTGGAACATCAAGACTAAAAATCAATTAGATACCTAGTCAAGCATCACCTGGAGCCAGCATTACTCGTGGCCTTTTCCACTCATAAGCCAATCCATCCTTTTTATCCTAATCCATTCTGAATTAGGTTTTCTATGACTGAAAACCAGAAGACCCCTAACCTATATATTCATCATACTTACCCCATCCCTGTCTTCCCACAGGAGGGCACAGGGACCCAGGTTAGGTTACTATGGATTTATTGGTTACACTGAAGCCAAAGTATTGAGATGGAAAGGTCAGAGGCAGCCACCAGGCAGTATGTAAGACTGGTTGATTCAGCAATCTGTACAGAGTGGACTCCGCGGGGAAAGAAAACCAAGTAAGAAGCAAGTGCAGCCAGGCAGAGTTAACATAGGGATACGGACCCTACCCCGTGATCTGGCCGTCATGGGGGTGTCGTCTTAGGGTCTTTACACTCAGGAGTTAAGGAACTTGGAAGCACGTGCCCCTTTAAGCCTTTATTACCCTGTGCTGCAGTGTGTGCCCCTCCCTTTACCACCTGAAGACCTCCCTTTTGGCTTCTGCTGCCCTTGATGACACTCACTTTGGGGGCGATGAGAGGAATTTTATCTTCTGCTTCTTTGGCTTGCCGGGAACTAGGGACCCTTCCTCCTTTAGAAACAGCACCATCCTCCTGACCCCCGGGAAGTACCACCCTCTGCTCAGCCTCTCGGTTGGGCCCTGGCCTTTCTACCCCTCCAGCTGAGTTGCTTTCCCCTCTTGGGCCCCAGGTCTCCCATGGTAACCTTGAGGACTGGGCAGAGTCCATAGCTGCTGCTGATTTCTCAGGGGTAGAATTTCTTTCCCCACTTCCACCTGACTTTTTTCGGGGGCGCCCCCGTTTTCTTTTGGCATCACTTGCTGGGTCCTCTGTGTCCTGCTTTGCTGCTTTAGCTGGCGGGTCCTGGCCACTGGCCTCACTCACAGGCACTTCTGCTGTCCTCTTGGCACCCTTGTCATGGGATCCTGGGTCAGCACCAATGCCTACCTCCCTGTTCTCTGGGCCCTGGGGCTGAGTCAGTCCTCCAGGTGGAGCTCGCCCTGGTCCTGGTCCTGGTCCCAGCCCAGGCCCAGGCCCTGGCCCTGGCCCTGGCCCTGGCCCTGGCCCCGGTAAAGCAGGAACAGTTGGTAAGATCATGTTAATGATGGGCACAGCTGCCTGGGGTCCGCCAGCCCTACTGGGCAGAGGCAGCGTAGCCACTTTCAGGGTGCCTGAAGAAAGCTTCGGGGCCAGGATGGGTGAAGCAACTTGGATCGGTGGAATAAGTGAGCGAGGGGCTCGGGGAAGGAGCAGAGGCAGCCGGGCTACTAGGGCATTAACCTGTGGGTTACTGGCTGCTGGGGCCAAGCTCTCGATTACACTCTTCTTCCGCTCTCCACGAGCTGGAGGGCTAGCCCCAGCCCAGGCTTCCGGCTCCTTAGGAGGCTAAAAAAGAGGATCACAGTAAGGCGTGAAGACTGTGTATCCAAGGAAACAGGCATGGGAGGCACAAGAGATGGGAAAGGAGGGGACCCACCGGCGGGAGGGTGTACTAAGCCTGTGGCCAGGGGTAGAGTTAGGAGATCAGGCTCCTTACCTGGGCCAGTCTCTCTGGTTTCTTGTGGGCTCCCCACTCTGGGTTCTCTACACCATTCCTGGACTTAGATGACCGTTCTCGAGGGGCATGTTCGTCCTCTTCTGCAGAGGTGCCAGAAAAGGTAACAGAGTGAGGGTGAGGGAAACTGAGGAAGAGAGGAGCAAGGTAATTCTGACTGCCTGGCTGCTGGGACAGTCAGGGAAAGCAGAGGGCTAAAGCGTATCTTAGAAGGGTCTCCAGGAATAGAAGGTGATTCCAAGGTGAAAGCTGAAAGGGCCTGAGCATTTCAGATGCAAGAGGATCCACCCACCAGCAAGCCCCATGGCCTTAAGCACATGGGCGTGTGCAGACCGGGCAGAGATGAGATGCTGCTGCAGCAGGAACCGGGCAACCTCAACAATGGAGCTGAAGGACCGTTTCAGGATCCGCTCTGCCCAGTCACAGGTCAGGGCGCAGGCTGCCTCCACCAGTTCGTCCCGAGGTGCTGGGGTTACTTCCAGGCCCACTTCTGGCTGTAGAGGGGGAAGGACATGTGCAGTCACTCCAAACTAAATCCCCACCCCCCCACTACTACCCTGTTGCCCAGAGAGAGCAGGCTGCAGATGGGAACAGTCTCTGACCACCCCAAAGAGACGCCCACAGATTCCTTCTCCTCTGCCTCGCCCACAGCACAGCCAGAGAGGCACACAGAACACACACAATGACCTAGACAGCGCTGGCCCTCAAAACATGTCCCACAGACCTCTGACTTTTACCTGAGAGAAAAGAGTGGAGCCAAAGGTTGCTACTTACACTCTCAGAACTCTTTAAGTCAAGTCCAGGGAGAGGTGGCATAGATACCAAGGTCTTCCTTCGTATACCACTGTAGCAGTATCTGACACAAGTTAAGGAGCAGCCAACACTCCCCGCCCCTCCCCAAGCCAGGTTAGGCCATTTCCACTCCTGGCCCTCCAAGTCCTGTTTTCTTCCCCAGGTCCTCCAACCCCAGCCTCTCCAGGCAAGGATACTTGGACTGGCCCCGGCCGCCAAGCCTTCGGGCCTTGATGTCAGGGAAGATCTCTCGGATGATTTTGCCAAAGTTGGCTGTACTGAGTGGACGGCAACAGGCCAGACTCTCGCAGTACTTCCTGAGGAGTGAGGAGCCGAGAGGGAGGACAGGGGAAAGGCTGTGGGTGGGTTCAGAGGGCCCCGAGGGATCACATGTAGGGAACTCTTTAAAAAGATAGGATCTAAAATGGGCACGGCACATGCCTGTAATCCCAGCCCTCTCGGAGGCTGAGGCAGAAAGATCACAAATTGTTCAAACCCAGCCAAGGCAACTTAGTGACCCTGTTTCAAAATTAAAAATAAGAAAGGGCTGGGGCTGTAGCTCAGTACAGAGATCCTGGATTCAGTCCAGAGTATCTCACACACACACACAAAAAGGCTCTACCAAGGCAAGGAGCTCTGCAGGGATAAGGGTGTAGGCCCACCAACCCAGGCACCAACGCTTCACCCACCGATAAGCATCATAAACACTCTGCTTTGGTAGACAGGTGTCTGTGTGCTCCTCCAGGTGGTTGCGGATCCACCTGTAGGCATACATGTACTCCTCATTGCTGAGCGTGCTTGGCTCTGAGCTGAAAGGGAAGTAAAAGGGACAAGCGTTACTGAGACCCTGACAGTTGGCCTGGTTTGTGCTGGACCGATTCACCCAGAATCTACCTTTCCCTGCTAAACTAAGCCAAGGCAAGGACAGCAGCTGTAAGTCTTCTACTCACCTCGCCCTTTCCAGTGAGATGGTCTCTAAGGCTCAGGACCTCTGATACTTAAAACTCTGCCACCAAACCTACCTTTTGTCTCCAGTGCTGGGCCCCGAGGGGAGCTGAAGGTAGAGATACAGCTTGTCGTTGTCTGAGAATTTCTGTACATCTTGCTGAGGTGAGAGGGAACACAGACAGGAGAAATAATAAGGTCCAGAAGAATCTAATGTAGGACCCTCTGATTTGTACCACAAAATCCAGCTGAACTTAGAGGTTCTGAGACTGAAATGGACCTTAAAAATTTGAGACTGGAGCTGCAGCTCAGGAGTGGAGCACTTGCCTAGCATGCACTAGGCCCAGGGTTTGATCCCTGTGGGCTTCCATGGAAGGGGGACCAGAGGGACCACCATCAGCTCTACTAGGCTGCTATTGGGAGGTCTCAGAGAGATGAAGAAGAAGCTCAAACCGGAGCAAGTTGCAAAACTAATGATTTGTTTTCTATGTCGTACTGGGGATTGAATCCAGGGCCTTTGTACCAAGCCACATCCACAGCCCTTTTGATTTAAAAAAAATTTTTTTTAATGGTACTGGGGATCAAACTCAGGTCCTTCCATTCGTGGGGCAGGCGGGGAGCCACTGAGCTAAATCCCTGGCTGATTTTTAAATTTTGAGACAAGGTCTAAGTTGCCCAGGCTAGGCTTGAACTCTTGATCCTCCTGACACCCAACCCAAAGCCAATGATCTGACAACAGTGCATCTCCCATATAAACCTTCCATTCATCCACTTTGTCCCCGCCATCCCCATCCCTACCAATGCCACCACTTCACTGCCCTCTTCCCAAGGTGCTTACCAGGATTCCTTCTACTTTGTTCTGCACGGCCTTGCTGTGGACAACAGAAAGCTAGAGGTCACACACAAGGTTTCCCCATCCCTTTGTTGGACTGCTTGGGGGTGGGGTGGGTTAAAATGCTTAGAAGGCCCTCAAGAACTGCTGTCAGGACTAGGAATCTCTCTCTGCTCTCTCTGGAGGCAGCTCATCCCCAGAGGAAGTGAAGTGCTACTGGGATCTATCCAGAAGTCTGGAACAGGATTTGGAGGCGGTGACAGGTACTTACGAAATGGTACCTCGGAGCCTTTGAATAAGTGTGGTAGGTTCCCCAGCCTCAGCACCGCTTTGGGGTGCCCTTGCCCCAGTCTTGGGGCTTTTAGCATCAGGCTCATCTTCAGCCATCCCAGCATGGGGTTAGAGCTGAGGGGACAGAGCATGAAGATGTAACTTAGGGCAGTTTTTATCTCTCTGCCCAGAAAGACAGAGAAACAGACAAAGCCTCTAAATCTCCCCAGTGGTCTTTTTTCACCACTTTTGCCTTCTCCAAAAATTAGAAATTATTCCATTATTTCATCAGGCCCATCTAAACCCCATCTAAAGAGGTAGAGGTCTCTACCTCTGCCATCTCCATTCTACCTGCCCCACTTTTCTGAAGTCTCCTAAATCTGGAAAAATGTAAAGGAAGAGAAGGGGGATTGGAAATCTACGTTAGAAAGAAATGTTCATTTCTCCTCTGACACCCCCTCCCCCAGCAACAACAAAGTTCTCCAAATCGCGAGTATATTCCTCATCAAGATTTCGCCTGGCAGGTCAGAAAGGATACGAACAGACTTCTGCCCGCCCTCGCTCGGGGTAGGGGGGGACCAGGCCCAAGTTCTCAGGACTTCATCTCGCCACGGCCCGCGCGCCGCCCGCTCCCCACAGCGACACGTCATCGCCCGCCCCGACGCGCGACCCCGGCCCTCCGGCCCCCCGCCCTTCAATCCCCGGCTGCCGCCGAGGGGCACGCGGGGCGACGGACTCCTGGGCTGGGCGGAGGAAGCCCGGCAGGGAGAAGGGGGTCCTGGATTCGGGGCATGTGCACATGGGTGAAGCAGCCGTTGAAAATACAGCCGGCATCTTTTTCTGTTCGCTTCCCATCTCCTATCGCCCCCTCCCTACCTCTGAAGAGTCGCCTTCCAACACAAGCACAAATAAAGGTAAGGCAGGAAGAGAAACTACCTCGTAGCCACCTTCACTCCAGCCCAGCCCCACGGTCCCGGTCCAGCCAGCTCCTGCGTTGCTTTATTTTCCTTTTTCTGAATGGCTGTAGTCGACGCGATCTGCCTGGATACACGAACGACCTGCTTGGTGATTGGTTGTTGCTGCTACCCGGAGACCGAAGGCGCCGGGCTCGCACAGGCGGCTGCTGAAGTCTGCCTGGTAACAGAATCTGATTGGTCAATAGGGGAGGGAAAATCCAAAGTTGGTCTTATTTGAGTCCAGAGGGGGAAGTCCGGATTAGGTTTCAGTTAAAACTGGGGTCCGTAGGGACTGCCGGTCCCAAGAGGTTCTTCTCTTAAAGGAACCGCAGGACGCAAACCCGTGCATGGGTTCCCGTGGAGGTTTCTTGTCTTCTGCCCTCTCCTGTGGTTTCAGTTCGACCTTCGCGCGTCAGCGCTGCCGCAAGAAAATAATAAGTAGATGATAAAGTAACTAGAAAATTATGAGTAATGGCGATGGAGATTCACTATAAACTCTTATAACTCCCCTTTGATGTAAAACAAGTTGAACCATCTCGCCCCTCACAGCCGAACGCAGAAAACCCACGACCACGACCACCAGGCTCTCGGTGGAGGCCTCAGGGCCTCCGCAGCTGCACCACATTAGGCTGAAACCGAGGAACCCATAGTGTTCCCTGGTTTTCCGGGTGTGTTTTATCCCAGGTCTTGCTAGCGCCGCCCCCCGCCCCCCCCATCGCACTTGCTGGACGCTGGGATTTTGACTCATTCATTCCCCCAGGGGGTGCCAGACCGCACGGGAAACACCCTCTGAGAACTGCATAGGTCAAGGGTTCTTAACGCTCTTAGGACTTTTTAAGGCCACGAATTAGATAAAAGCAGTGGATCCTTTGCCAGGAAAGAGATGCACCTGCAGATTAAGGTTTGCATCCGATTTCAAGAAGGTCACAGACTCCAGATTGACAACCTTCCCCATCACCCCTCCTGCAGTCGTGGGGATTGAACCCAGTGCTTCGCACTGAGCTGTATTTCCCAGGTGTTTCTTTCCCTGCCTCAGCCTCCCAGAGTGCTGGGATTACAGGCACGCACCTGTGCCCCAGCTGACACCCTTTTAAATGGATAGATTTATTTATTTTGTTCTGCATATTGGAGATGTTATACCCCAAATCACATTTGCAGTCCTCATTTCTCCAGGCTCATTATCAACGATGTGCTTTTTGTAAAGAAGGCAGCTGTGGTGTCTGATCTCATCACCAAGGAGGCCCTTTACAGCCTCCATTTCCAAGCTACCAGCTTCTCTGGGTCTGGGAGAACAAGGATAAACTAGTAAGAAGGTATTCTAATAACAGTGAAAATGTGTTTGGTCTTGACTGTCTGTCAGACATCATAACAAACACTAGACACGTCATGTGATGTACACAGTGTAGGTGCTGGTGCTGTTCCTGTCTTTGTTTTACAGATGAGGATGTTTTACAGATGAGGATGCTGAGATTTGGAGAGGCGAAGGGTCCTGTCCACAGCCACAGATAGAGTAAGTGCTGGACTTTGGATCCAGGGACAGGCAGTTTCCTTCAGAGTCCATCTTCTGAACACTGCCCTAGCCTGCATATACACGTTTGCAGTGCTTTTGAATGAATGGGTAGTGGCTGATGGAACCCCCCCACACACACACCTGTGTGAAGGGGAATCCAGGATACAGAATTGGGGTAAATTTTGCTGCTTAAACGTTTGCAAGGAACAGAATAATTGGAAGTTTAAGTGAGAGGAGAGAAAGTATCATAGCTATATAAGGAAGAATATTTTGACAGCTTTATGGAAGGTGAGTTGAGAGGCAGGGGGAGACCAGAGATGGGAAAAACACAGAACTATTTATTCATGCCAGGTATTTTGCTAAGAGCTGGGGATACAAAGCTGAATAAGGCATGGTCTTTTCCCTGAGAAGTAAAAATAACAATTATCCACACTTTGGGAAGGCTGAGGCAAGAGGACTGCAAGTTTGAATCTTGCCTGGACAACTTAGCCAGACCCTGTCTCAAAATAAAAAATAAAAAAGGGCTGGAGATACAGTTCAATCCAAAGGCTCTGGGTTCAATCTCTAGTACCACTAAAAAAAAATCCGATAATTATTATAATAACAAATATTTATTTAGACCTTAATATGTACTGGGTACAGTACTAAGGGTTTCATATATGTTACCTGTTTATCTCACAGCGACTCTCAGGCATTATGATTATCCCATTTTACAGATAAGGAGACTGGGGCATTGAGCGGTTAATAATTTGCCCAAGGTTATTAATTGCCCTAGGCTGTCTAGATTCAGAATTGCACATCGGCACTATTGTATAATAACTACCAACACTGGAAATGAATTTATTAAACAAACACAAAAATATGAACCATAAAAAAATGTTGATAAATTCAGAGACATGAATACTAAAAATTTAATTTTATTTTAAAAATCACTATAACGCTAGGTATGGTGGCACATAACTATGATCTCAGGACTCAAGAGGCTGAGCCAGGTGGATCTGTGAGACTTTCAAACTAACCTGAGGTACGTAGTGAGTTCAACGTCAGCCTGAGCTGTGTAGTGAGACCCTGCCTCAAGAAAACAAAACAAAAGACACACAAAAAAATCACTATAAGGACTAGGGATTTAGCTCAGTGGTTCAACCACCTGCTTCACAAGTGCACGGTCCTGAGTTCGATCCCTGATACAAAAAAAAGAAAAGAAAAGAAAATCACTATAAGAGGAATACAAAGACAAGGTACAAATTGAGATAAGATATTTTTAAGGCATGTAACTGACAGTTGTTATCTGGAATTTATAAAGACTTTTACAAATAAAAAAGTAAAAAGGTAGCCAAATTTTAAAACATGGTCAGAAGAAATAAACAGGAATTTCATAAAAGAAGCAGAAATGACCCATAAACATAGGAGAGGCTGTGTACTACAATGACCAGAAAAATGGGAATTAAAGCAATAAGATCATTTCAAAGCCAGTGTGTCGGGAACAATGCTACATAACTTTAGGGAGAAATCCTAGTTCTCCTGCCTAGAGGCCAGCTATGGCATTTTGAGACATAATTCCATTTTGGCCCCCAGTCACAACTGAGACCTCAATGATCCGGTGATGCTGTAATGCTCCAGGACAAGATTACAACAGCTGAAGACATCCTGGGAGGAACAAAATCTTCATCTACTCAGTTCCTCATTGTTCTTGGATTGTTACACTTTGTTTATGCCCATGTACTGAACTCTGCAAGTCATTTGTTTCATTTGTTTCTCCCCGATGTACTGAATAAAAGGTGCAGTTAGCTTCGGGCTTTGGTCTTTGCTGCCCAGAGCAGCACTGATCAGACCCAAAGGTCAGCTTCTTCTCAAAAAAAAAAAAAAAAAAAAAAAAAGCCCCTAGTTTACCGCATCTTTTATTCAGTAAGTCAGGAGAAACAAATGTAACAAATGTCTCAGGACAGAGAGTTCAGAACATCGGGATAAATAAGGTGTAAGAAATGACTTGCAGAGAGTTCAGTACATAGGCATAAACAAAGTGTAACAATCCAAGAACAATGAGGAACTGAGTAGATGAAGATTTTGTTCCTCCCAGGATGTCTTCAGCTGGTGTAATCTTGTCCTGGAGCATCACAGCATCACCGGATCATTGAGGTCTCAGTTGTGACTTGGGGTCAAAATGGAATTATGTCTCAAAATGCCGTAGCTGCCCTCTAGGCAGGAGAACTAGGATTTTTTTCCCTAAAATTATGTAGCATTGCTCCCAACACCAGTGAATTGGTAAAATTTTTAAATTAGGCAACATTGAGGGTTGGCGTGACTGTGGACTAGCAGCTCTCATCTACTGCTATAGGAGTGTAAATTGTAATGTATAATCATTTTAAAAAGGACTCAATGTTGCTTGCTGAAGTCAATTATGTATCTCAGTATATGTGAATGTCTCAGCAGTCCTATTGTGAGCATCCGCCCTAAAGACACCAGCAGTACCGCCTGCAGTCTCTGTGCTTGCTTTAGCAAAATCTGGAAATGACAAATGTTCAATAGTAGCTTGATAAAAGTTGTGGTGTCTTCATATGCTAGGATGTCACACAGCTATGGAGAGGAATGAGCTACCGCTGCTGCTCTCAGCCACGGAGAGGAAGTTCAGAAACAGAAAGAACTCAGAAGAAAACATACAGTATGCCAGGTGTGGTGGTGCAGGGCTGTAAGCCCATTTAAGCAAGAGGCTGAGGCGGGAGGATCAAAAATTCGAGACCAGCCTGGGCAATTTAGTAAGACCTTGCCTAAAAATAAAAAAATAAAAAAGGCTGGGATTATACCTCAGTGGCAGGACACCCCTGGGTTTAATCCCCAGTCCCTCCCCACCCCCAAAAAACATATGGTGTGGTGCATTTTGTGAATATTTAATGTCAAGGAAAACAGAACCATATATTATTTGTGGATCAATACATATATGGTTAGAATGGGGTAATGAAAAGCAATAAAATTATTACTGTAAAATTAAGGACAGAAGTTACTCATGGTGGGCAAGGGAAAATGGATTTGGGAGCGGTTGTTCCCAGTTGATCTCTTCCATGGTGTCTAATTTAATTTGTTTTCCAAGTGGATAGACAGTCATTTCAATACATTTATCATTTCCTCCTTATAAGTAAGTTTTCTATTTCTTTTTGTTGTTGTATGTTTTGTTTTTGTTTTTTGAGATAGTCTCTAGATGTAGCCCAGGCTGGTCTTGAACTGTTGGCCATTCATCCTCCTGCCTTACCTTCCCAAGCACTGGGATTACAGGCGTGTTTCACCTCAGGCTCTGGTATTTTAACATACCTTCTAACTTTTCTTTTCCTCTATACTCTTATTTATTTATTTGTTTATTTATTCATTTATTTATTCCTGGCACTGGGGATTGAACCAAGGGTCTTAGTACTGATACATCCCTGGCTCATTTTTGAATTTAAAAATTTTTTTTAATTTGAATTTTAAATTTTTAGACAGGGTTTCACTAAGTTGCCAGCTGCCTAGGCTGGGCTCAAATTTGCAATCCTTCTGCCTCAGCCTCCCAGAGTGCTGGGATTATAACCATGCCCAGTTTACAGTTTTATCTGTATTTTTTCCTTTTGCAGTGCTAGGGATTGAACCCAGGGCATTATATACACTAGGTAAGGGCTCTACCACTGAGCTAAACCCCATCCCCTCCGTGCCCATCATATACTTTTATTACATACTAAGCTACCTTGTATAGCTGGAGTTGTTTCTGAGCTTTATACTATTTTGGGGGTGGGGTGGGGTGGGGTGGTACTAGGGATTGAACCTTTACTTGACCGGGTCAAGTACAGGGGTACTTGACTGTTTAGCTATATTGCTAGCCCTTTTTATTTTTTTTAACTTGAGTCAGGGTCTCGGTAAATGGTGGGACTTCAGGTTTCAAGTTTCCTGCCTCATCCTCCCTCAGTGCCGGTGTTACAGGCCATGCCTATTGGACATTATACTCTTTCATTGATTTTATTCCTCTACTCATAATACTGCATACTGGTTTGTTTTGTTTTGTTTTTGAGACAGGGTCTTGTTCTGTAATTCAGGGTAGCCTTGAACTCACTATGTAGCCCAGGCTGGCCTTGAGCTCCTGGTGATCCTCCTGCCTCAGCCTCCGGAGTGCTGGGATTACAGGCATGTGACACCACCAGGCCCACTGTGCGCTGTTTTAAACAATGCAATTATATAGTATATCTTTGTTTTTAGTGTCAAAATTTTTCTGTTATTAGTTTTGTTAATTTAAAAGAAGCTATTCCTGGAGCTGGGGGAGTAGGTCAGTGGTATGGCTCTGTGCTCAACCCCAACACCAGAACACTCCTGTGTGTGTGAGCTTGTAGTTTTCAAATGTGGCCACGAAACATTTCTGGTCCCACACACTATTTCAGATCCTTGTTGCTTCCCTGTTGAGAGGTGGAGCCGAGTTCCGGGACCTTTCTGGGGAGGCAGTGGCATGTGGTGGGGGTGATGTCTCATGGCTTTTGAGTCTAGGTTAGAAGAGGTCACACAGCCCCCTCTTTGCTGCCTAAGTGCGTGTGCCGGACCCCAGCCATGTTGTGAGGGAGCGCGAGCAGGTGCCTGGAAAGCTGTAGTGTAGGTGTCTCATCGGAACCCAGCTGAGGCACAAGTGACAGCCAGCAGGAAAGGCCAGACATGGGAGTAAGGGAGCCTGCCACCTATTCTGCAGCCCCCTGAGCCCTACACAATCTGCAACTTTGTGAGCAAACATAATGTCATTGTTTCAAGCTGCTAAATTTTGTGTTTGTTGTTTGGTGTACTGGGGGTTGAACTCAGGAAGCCCCTAGCTACATCCCAGCCCTTTCTATGTTGAGGTAGAGCCTCACTGAGTTGCCCAGGCTGGTCTTGAACTTGTGATCTTTCTTCCTTAGCCTCCTGAGTAGCTGGATTATAGCCACTGCAGCCAGCTAAGCTTTGCCACGGTTTGTTACATAGCACTGGATAACTGGATCACTAAGCATCTATAGTTAAGTTACTGATGAAGTATCTGCCCATGCTCATTACAACTCACACATACAGGAATTTGTTGTTTGTGTTTTTGGTGTTGGGGTTGAATACAGGACCAGGCACATTCCAGGTAAGTTTTAGAAACCACTTACCAAGTTTTCATTAAAAAAGAATCCTCATCCCTCTGAGATAACATGTTCTGGAAAGTATCCCCCGTACTCATTCCATGTTCTCACAAACATATGTTCATCTACACAGAGGTTTTTGTTGCTGTTGTGTTTGTTCTTTTTTAAAGTGGTGGTCAGGGGCTGGGAATGTAGTTCAGTGGTAGAGGTCAGTGGTAGAGTTTGATCCTCAGCACTGAAAAAAGTGGGAGAGGGGATCACACTATTGGGATCACATAACTCACAAATAAGTCCTTCCCCACTGAACAATATGTACAACAACTTGTGTGTATTTTTTTTTTTCTGGCTTTGGTTTGGTTTTTTTAGACAGAGTCTCACTATGTAATTCAGGCTGGCCTTGAACTCACTATGTAGTCCATGCTGGCCTCGAACTCTCTGCAATCCTCCTGCCTCAGCCTCCCGAGTGCTG